AAAGCTGGCAGGGAAGTGACTTCTGATCAGTCCAGGGAGGTTTTACTTCCTTCCAGGCAGTTCGAGCAGCTCCGAGTGATTAGGCTCCATTCCCTCACGTGTGAATTCTTTTTCAAAGTAATTGATTTTCCAGCTAGTGATAGCCAGGCTGTGTGGTGCAGCTTTGACCCCGTCACACCCTCGTCCACGGGTCTGCATCTGTCCCTCCTGCCCCGGGGACAGCCCTCCGTGAACATGTCCAAGGCCACGCCTCCCCCACTCAGCCCGGGATCCCCCACCCCATCCACGACATCACTCTGGCCCGTCCGCCCTCTCCCTGATAAGCAGCACTGTTTTCCTCTCCACTGGCTAATACACACTTGCCTACAACCATGCCATGATTTCTCCCATCCTTAAAAAAATTCTTTCTCGTTCTGACTCCCCTCGCCAGCTACTGCCTGTTTCTCTTCTTTCTCCAGTCCTCCTTCAAGAGCTGTGTGTACACTTCCTGTTCCTTCTCTGTTCTCCCTGAACCCACCCCCATCACAGGTGCCCAGTAATTATCTACAGAATGAGGGGATGAGTGACAGGATGTGTCCCTTCTCCTTCCAATCAAACCACCAAGGAAAAGGCAACGGTATCTTTCGCTGCCTGGTTTAGGCTTTCTAAGGGCTTGCAGAACTACAGATGCCCTGGCTTAAAGAAAAAGGAAAAAAATCCTTTTTTTTAGGGGGAAAAAAAAAAGTTATACCTTCTCCATGTTTCCCCCGGGGCATTAAAACTGAGCAAACCATTTTCCATTTGGACTAATAAAGAATTGCTGTGGGGAAAAAAGGAATGTGATTTCAATGGTCAGTAATTCTTGAGTACCTGACTGCACCACAAGGCAGGATTTGTCTTCAGAGTCGGTGTAAGAACCTTTCCAGCAAGGCTTCCTAAGTCCAGCCCAAGTCCCAGATCCCACTGGGTTTCCTGCCCTACCAGAGGGCAGCCAGCCCATCTGACCCCCTTTCTCAGGCTCTGGCTCTGTCATGTGTGCGCTCAGAGAGAGGGTGGCGTCGTTACTGCACGGTTGGGCAGCTTTGATGCAGAGCACAGAGCAAATGCTCCATTGCAGGGCCTGGGAGAGCGGGGCCTGACTCACTCTCAGAATGTCTTCAGAAAGTGTGCAGCCTTTGCTCAGATTAGTGGAGATCAGCCGAGAACCGCAGGAGGACCCAGGATGCAGCTTGGCTCAGGGAGAGATGGGGAGGCCTAGAGAGAGTGGAGGTGCCCATAAGGAGTCTCCATTCTGTAAGAAGAGGTTGCAGCAGCGCCGGGACTGGCTGGGTCTCCTCTCGGCTGGACCACACCCCTTGGAGTCGCCATCCAGACTTATGACATACATCTTTCCTGGGGAATCCAGCCCGTCATCATCAAGGGACTGGAAAGAGATTCTCACTCACGTCATTCCTGCAGTGAAGCACTCACTGGCCAGGGCATAAGGCTAGTTCTGGGCCACATGGGTCCCCTCCAGTGCTGAGGGCCCTGAAACAGTGCTCTGGAATCTTCCACAGCATTGGCTCTTCATCCATTTCCTATGCAGGGCACTGGAAATTTAGAGGGTGATTGAATATGACTCTTTTCCCAACAGCTGCCTGGAAAGCCAGATGAATTTTAGAATGACTGCAATAAGAGCATCCCATAAAACATCTTCACTGGTGAGGGACTTAGCTAGTTAGCGGGTTAAACCACGGTTGCACACCAACATCCGGGTGAGTCATCACTGGCCTGAATTATTTGTAAAGGGTGTTTGTCCAGGCTGCCATCTTGGTTTTCATCCGCTGCCTCCCTAATCCTGTTAGATCAACGTTGTCATTCTACCCAACTGGTCACTCGTCAACCTCACAGTTCTCCGTAGGAAAGCAATCGCTGATGTGTGCTCTGCAGCCACTTCAGTCTTGGAACTAACGAAGGAAGTTCATCAGAAAAAAAAAGTTTTCTGTTCATGACACTTGCAGAAATGGGACTTCCTGGAAGCGAAAGGTTCAGAAAGAAAAGGTGATCATCTCAAGAGAATGTAGCTGAGATCATCTGATAAAAAGAGGAGGTGGGAAGAGTGTGCTCTGTGTTGGAAGTAAACAAACAAGGCCAAGGATGCTGTAAGATGGACTAAGGATTTCAAATCAGAAAGTAAAGTGGAGCGTTGCTAGGGTGCTTTTTCATTTGGGGCTGTGGTAACCTCATCTGCCTACTGCATGTCTAAGGATGGAGCCAGGGTAGGGCATTCAATCACACAGGCTAAAGCAATTCTTCCACCGAGATAATCTAAATCTCGATCATATTGAATCTGTTTTCTCTCTGGCACGGAAATATTTTCCAAGGTATTCACACGGGAAATATGAGCAACCCACACTCTGTAGAGCCCTAGCCAATTAAAAGTAGATGAAAATCTCCTTAATGCAGAATCCTTTAAAACATTCCGGGGTGAGGGGGGTGGAGAGGGGAATGTATGTTTATAGAAAATCTGATAAAGAACACAACTGTGTAACCTCTGGGTGAGTTGGATAAGATATTTATTCAAGACATATTTCTTTTAAAAACAATTACTTTTGATAGTTTAAAGCATCTCATCTGTCATTTAGGATAAAAATAGATTAAGCAGTGAATTAGAAGCCCTAAGATTCTAGGCAGCTAAGAGAGTGGTGTATTAGCTTGCGGAAAACTAAAGAAAAATCAATCAAGTGAATGAGAACTACAACTAAAGGTAATGATTTCTTTGAAATGGAAATGTACTAAGGGAGGAATTGGTCACTGGAGCTTAAAAGAAACATTCCAAGTGGAGAAGCTCCCTCTTCCTAGAAATATGAGCTTAGGCTCTGCCAAAGGACATGAGCTAGCTGGAGCAACAGATGAAGATATTCAAAGGATGCAAAGCTTCAGCAGGATGAAGGAGACAGGGTTTCTTGGGAAGAGAAGTGTGTGGTTCTAGGAAGAGCATTTCAGCCACTTTCTCTCTTCCCTGGCTGCTGGTCCTAACTCTGAAATCTTTTTCTACTCTGGGCTTATTTTTAATACTTTCAAAGTATTAAGATGCAATTTCAGAATAGCTTTTTCTCATCAAAAATAGAAGATGGTTTATTTAAGTAGCAGCTGTGTAAAGAGCATTTTAAGTCTATTGGGTGATTCAGTAATAAGTAAGGTCCTTGATAGTGTGGTTCTACTAAGAAAAGGCAAAGACTGGCAGGCAGGTGAGGGTTCAGTGCCAAGAGTATGCCAGTTATGGGACCCGGCTCCCTGTGTTCTCAGTGAGAGCCTGGAGTTAGGGACTAGCTTATCATCCTTTAAAACCCATTCCAGGAGGAGGGGGTGCAGGGCAGCTGGAAGTGCTGGCACATGGTCATTGTTATGGGCTCAATGTTTGCATCCCTCCAAAATTCATATGTTAAAACTCTAACCACCATGTGATGATATTTGGAAGTGAGGCTTTGGGAAGGTAATTATGTTTATATTGGGTCATGATTAGGGTGGGGGCCCCCCATGATGGGATTAGTGCCCTTATAAGAAGAGGAAGAGAAAGATCTCTCCTAAGGCCATGTGAGCACATAGTAAGAAGGTGCCTGTCTATGAGTCAGGAGGCGAACGCTTACCAAGAACTGAATCTGCCTACACCTTGATCTTGGACTTCCCAGCCTCCAGAACTGTGAGAAGGAAATACCTGTTGTATGGGATTTTGTTATAGCACCTCCAGCTAAGTCATCGAGAGCAAGAACTTCAGAAAAAGACCAAGCTGGGGCGAGTACACCGCACTGTGTGCCCTTGGGCAGGTAACTTACCTGTCTGATCCCCAACTTCCTTATCTGCCAACCAGGTGTAATAAAGATACCCACCTGACAAGGCGAAGGACTTTAACAAGGCAATGCAGGTGGCATCTCGCTGGAGGTAGAATAAGCTTGCAGTCACTGCCCTAACAGTGCTACCACTTTGTGGGGATGGTTCCAGTGGAGAAGTGAGCGATTCATGTCTGGGGACCCAGTATGTGGGGTGGTGTGACACTTTCCTGATTCTAAGTGAATAACCTTCATTTCTGTTTGAGAAACATTGTTGAGCAGGTCCTGGGCTCCATATGGTCCAGAGGTTTTGATAATGCTCAGGCCCTGCCCTCAAGGGGCTTATAGTCCCTGAGGAGGAATGACAAAGGAGCATTCCACTTTCAGTACATTACCCAAAGTTTTTTTAGTAGGGGAATCCTGGGCCTTGTAGGAGCACAGAGGAGGAGGGTGGGTGGCACCCAGGAAAGCTTTCTGGAGGAGATAGTTCCTCCATATTTTCCATGTTCTTTTCAAGTAAACCACTGTATTTTATTTTTCCCAAGGAAAACAAGGGAAATTCAGGCCTACCACATGTATCAATAAATTAATCCACATGTGTCAAAAGTTTATCAGCATTTTAATAAATGTTACCTGATTGGGAAACCCACTTTTAAACCATTACCATAAAAAATTCTCCCTTTCGAAACGATGGCAGATTTTACATCCTGACGGTATCTGCAAACGTAACATGAACTTCTTGCAAGCCTTAATTTAGATTTGAAATAGATCCTTGTCTTTCTGACCACTGACACATAGAGCTTATTAAATGGGATGATTTGGGAAAGTAGCAAATTCAGGCCTGTGATTTCTACGCAAACGCTCCTCTCAACCTCGCCCTGTGGTTTCCTTTCTGAGCTCCACGGCTGCTCCGACAGATGGACGTCAGCGGCCAGCAGCAGGCGAGGCAGGACTGGCCGGCCGACTGCTCCGACCGGGGGCAGTGGCCAGCATGATTGATGAGCCAGTAGCTGACCAGTTCGGTCAACTGATGCCCGAGCCAAAGGTCATGAGCCTCTAGAAAATATCTGTATTTTTCCAGTGCTTTCAGATTAAGCGAGTGTATTTCCAGCTTGTTTCATCATGAACGGTTGTGTTGCGGCATATTACTCTTTGACCACAGGATTCAGGTTTGAGTTTCTCTTTCCCTTGTTGCTTTCTTTTCCCTCACAGATGTGGGAAGAGGCCATCGCCCTGGGCAAGGAACTGGCTGAACAGTATGAAAACGAGATATTTGATTATGAACAACTTAGCGAATTGCTGGTAGGTCTTTTTTTCTCTTTAAATGAACAGGCAATCTCAGCTTGTTCTCCTGGAATTTTTCTTTTCCTTTGAACGTTGGGATTCTCCTTCATTTTGTCCAGGAGGACACTTGATTTGTTTGCTGGTTGATTCTGGCCCACGAGTATTCACTTTTTATTCCCCAGTGAGCTTTTTCTGGCCCACGAGTATTCACTTCTTTTCCCCAGTGAGCTTTTGTAACCAAACTCTAAGACGCCTCTGAACGATTTATATGTGAACAACTGCTGAGTCTAGGTGTACGTTGGTCTTGATGGCCCAAAGGTCTCCAGGAGTCTCCACTCGTTTAAAACTGTGAGCCTGTCCACAAGAGGGGGACGGATGGAGGCTAGCCCAGACCTTTCTCCTGCCACAGAAGCTATCGGTTTCTAACTACTGCTTTCTCTGCTGTATCATTTTTGTATTCAGCAGATCGACTTATGATGTTGTGATGTGTATCATGAATGTGGAAGAGAATTCTGCCCTCTTAAATTCTCTTGAAATGTATCCCATTATCTGACTGATACCTTTTTTTAAAAAATCCTAAAGATCAGACATTTAATCAGAAGAAAAACCATCTCTCTGGCACCTCTTTGGTTATTAAAACACCTATAAATCACAACTGGTTGCTGAATTTGGCTTTTTGGTCAAATTCCCCTGCTGAATGTTGGAGGATGAGTGAGGAGTACTGTCAGCTTCGTGGTGAGATTAAATTCAATGCCTGCATCAGCACCGCTCCCCCACCTTCTCCCCGTCTCACCCGCTAGAACTGCCAAAGCTGGAAGAATCCAGATGCATGGATGTTCAACTACTCCATTCAAACCTGAAATGCATTTCCTTTCTTCCTTTCAGAAAAAACAGGCTCAATTTTATGAAAACATCGTCAAGGTGATAAGACCCAAGCCTGACTATTTTGCCGTCGGTTACTACGGACAAGGATTCCCCACGTTCCTTCGGGTAACTTTGGATTCTGTTTTGATTGGGTCAGGATTGCTCCCTGGGCAGTGAGCTTCTTCCCTTTCCGAGGAAGAATTTGGACTTTACATCCGAAGTCCGACTCTTTGTGTTATTTTAACAGCTCTGTGCTTGACTTAGGGTGCCAGAGAGGGGCTGATCGTATTTTTTGATTGCATGTAAACTTTCCATCTCATTTTTCCCAAATAGAACTCCTGTTCAGCGATTTATCTATATTTTTAAAATTATGGTTGGGGGATTTCCCTGGTGGTCCAGTGGTGAGGACTCCGCACTTTCACTGCCAGGGGCCCAGGTTCAATCCCTAGTCAGGGAGCTAGGATCCCACAAGCCGCGTGGCCTGGCCAAGAAGAAAAAAAAAATTCTGTAAGATATACATGCAAAACATAAAATTTACCCTCTTTAGGTGTATCATTCAATGGCATTAAGTCTGTTCAGTTTGTTGTGCAACTATTCCCACCATCCATCTCCTGATCTTTTTCATCTTCCCGAACTAGAACTCTTACCCCATTAAACAATAATTCCCCCTTCTCCCCTCCTCCCCAGACCCTGGCAACCACGCTTTTACTTTCTGTCTCAGAATTTGCCTGTTCTAGGGACCTCATTTAAGTGGAATAATACAAAACTTGTCCTTTTCTGTCTGGCTCACTTCCCTGAGCATCATGTCTGCAAGGCTTATCCATGTGGTAGCGTGTATCAGAACTTCATTCCTTTTTATGGAAGAGTAATATTCCATCGTACTGATGTACCACATTTTGTTTATCCATCCATCCTTTGATAGACTTTGGGCTGTTTTGCCTATTATGAATAACACTGCGATGAACATGAGTATTTTTAATTATATGAGAAACTGGAAATGGATTCCCAGTGCTGGAAACTCAGAATCATACTCCATTTCTGAGACAGGCATGTGCTCTTTGACACATGATGGAAGAAATACTGTGATCACCAGCCAAGTCACCCAATGATCGTGAGGCCAGAAATTGTGTAAATGAATGCTGCCTAGCCTACTAGTAGAATGTTAAAAGTTTCTCAAAAACGCATTCTTGGATGCCATTGACCGTGATTTCCTGTCATTTCTTATGACCTTTTTTTTTAATGTCACCTGGTTTTCTCTTATCCTGGGAGACCATGCGTGATCCTTCTGGTTTTAGAGAAGCAGGAGCTCTCTGCCTAGGACGCACCTGTCTGGGGCAGTTAGATCCAGTTGGGAGATTTCTGTAGCCCCAGAGGTGTGTTCCTTTGGCCCTGGTGTTTCTGATCCCACAGGAGGCCCTGATAGTATAAGACGTCCCTTCACGCTGGCACCAGCAGGGAGGACTTACTTGGTGAGGACCTGTCATCCTGTATAGGAACTTCAGCAAGTGGCCCTCGCAGGGCTGACCAGCTCCAGAAGGTGTGACCTGTTAGTTGATACGCTCACGCAGGATCCTGGCTGGGTGCCTGGGGCATCTGGCCTGTCCCTGTCACTGCTGGTCAGTCTCTCCTTAACACCGACACCTTCATCGTGCAGCTGTGGCATCTAAGATAGTGGTTAGGGAGGATTTTGAAATTAACTTTAAGCAAAAAACCAATCCAAAGGGGATAATGAGCCTGGAGTTGAAGTCACCTACTGTTGCTCAAGGCTTTAATTAATGTAGGTGAATCTGTACATATGCCTCCGTGTGTGTGTGTCTCTAAGAAAGACTGAGAGGGAGGGACAGGCCCTAAATCACAGCTGACCTGTGCTGTGCTGGATGTAGAGTGTATGTGTGGCCCTCCTTGGCTGGTGCTGTAATTTAAGGCCTCTACGGCTCTGTCCTGGTGTCCTGAGCTGGCAGCAGGGCGGGGTGAGCATTTTGCAGCCCCCAAGCCAACTGATGCCAGGGTTGTCCTGGGAGGTCACATGAGATCCGTGCTCCAGGGACCGTGCTGGGTCACCTGCCCATCACAAGGACAAAATGCAGAGTACGAATAACGAGTTTAACGGGCTTGATTAATATGGAACTGACTTGACCCCCACCCCCGAATAATTCTGTGGGGCTATAGCAATACATTCATTACGCTTTACAGATTACCTGTCGGGGCTCCATCTGACAATGACATTAGCAGTTACAAGAAAGTGGGTGGGATGTTTGTGTACTTCATTCAGCGCTGGGAGCACAGCCTCTGAGAACTGACTCGCTGCCCCCTCTGCTTTGTTTTGCTTTAAGCATTGATCGCATTGGGCTTTTTTGCATTTGTATGAATATTTATGATTCTTACAAGGAATAAATATCTTTGACTACTTGTACGTTTCCCTCCTGTTTTCAGGCTTGAAAGGACCACTTCAAAATGCAAAGTAATTGACATTTCTAGAAAATGTTATTAGTGTGTTCATCTATAACTCACTAGTGTTTTTCTATTAAAGCCTTTATATACATTTTTAGTATTATGTCTTCCTTCTAGGGTAGAGCATAATAAATGCATGCTAGTTTCGCAGTAGCCTGTTATACATTAAATCACCCTGAATTTCTGAAATGTTTGGCTTTTTATAGCCCTGCAGGTGCCCGTACTGTGTATTTATATTTGTATTTCTAATTAAGACTACATAGTACTTTGGTTTCTGCTTCAGATTGTTTTTTTAAAGAAAGAGCACATTTTTCTCCTGTAATGGGTACTTTAAGACATACCTAAGCACAAAGTGAAAAAAACATTTTAAATTCTTCCTTCTTTAGTGATTTACAAGAACTCAGAATAACTTTGGACTAGGGAAGGGGATAAATGGAATGCCACAGGGGCTCTGATTTTGTGAAAATTCATTAATTAGACAGATTTTAATTTGGCTTTGAGCTGAGGCTCTAGGATGCATCTGTTTGTGTATCTTCTCTTCCCCTTTCTCCCCCCCTCTCCCCCTCTTGCACTCTGGCATCCGTCCAGGGTCAGGGCAGATAACAGGGCTGCCCCTAACTCATGACCGGCTGGCCTGGACCCTCTTGCCCAGGGTCCCTGATGAAACAGCAACCAAGTCCAAGGAGGAGAAGCACGAGCCCCCAGCCTCCTGTTTCTCGGGTTCTGTGGGTTCTGCTCATCGCAACAAGGAAAACCTTGTGGCAGTTTTCATTGATGTTGAGACAGCCCTAAGATGGGGCAAGAAGATGGGTGGGGGGAGGTGGAGGGCTTCAAGAACCAGCTGCAGAACCACACTACCCACTGACACCTTTCTGTGATTCAGTTGCCACTCAGAACACACTTGCTGAATCTCTGAAGGTATGGAGACCAGTGCCCTCTTGGAATCAGAACGTTCCTGACACACATATTTACAGAGTCACGAGACAGGTCTCAGTGAGACAGCCTGAGTAGAGAGGAATGCTTACCTACGTATCATGCTCCCTCGAGGTCGCCCAGCCCAGCCACCCAAAACAACCCCCAGGTGCACTCTCCAGACTTTGTGGAGGTGACAGAAGTGGCATTTGAGAGGGACAGACTCCAGCCTTTAGGAGGAACACTCTGCATGCTCTACCCTGTCATCCGTTGATGGCTCGTTGTGCACACGACAACTGCAAACGTTCCAGGAGGGGAGTCCAGCCACCACCTCCACCCTCTCAGCACCAGGGGAGGCCCAGAGCCTTGGGTGCCTCTGCTTTGGTCTGGACCCTCTTCCCTCTGGTTCTGCTCATCTCTTGGCTGTGACCCATAGGAGCCAGCTTGGAAAGTCGTGCTCAGGCTCTGAGGCCCCACCTTAATCTCAGGCTCTCTTGAATTCTTTTTTTTTTTTTAATTTTAATTTTATTTTTTTATACAGCAGGTTCTTATTAGTTATCCATTTTATACATATTAGTGTATATATGTCAATCCCCATCTCCCTATTCATCCCACCACCACCACCCCCGCCACTATCCCCCCTTGGTGTCCATACGTTTGTTCTCTACATCTGTGTCTCACTTTCTGCCCTGCATACCGGTTCATCTGTACCATTTTTCTAGGTTCCACATACATGCATTAATATACGATATTTGTTTTACTCTTTCTGGCTTACTTCACTCTGTATGACAGTCTCTGGAGCCATCCACGTCTCTAAAAATGACCCAATTTCGTTCCTTTTTATGGCTGAGTAATATTCCATTGTATATATGTACACATCTTCTTTATCCATTTGTCTGTTGATGGGCATTTAGGTTGCTTCCATGACCTGCCTATCGTAAATAGTGCTGCAATGAACATTGGGGTGCATGTGTCTTTTTGAATTATGGTTTTCTCTGGGTATATGCCCAGTAGTGGGATTGCTGGGTTGTATGGCAGTTCTATTTTTAGTTTTTTAAGGAGCCTCCATACTGTTCTCCATAGTGGCTGTATCAATTTACGTTCCCACCAACACTGCAAGAGGGTTCGCTTTTCTCCATACCCTCTCCAGCATTTGTTGTTTGTAGATTTTCTGATGATGCCCATTCTAACTGGTGTGAGGTGATACCTCATTGTAGTTTTGATTTGCATTTCTCTAATAATTAGTGATGCTGAGGAGCTTTTCATGTGCCTCTTGGCCATCTGTACGTCTTCTTTGGAGAAATGTCTATTTAGGTCTTCTGCCCATTTTTGGATTGGGTTGTTTGTTTTTCTAATATTGAGCTGTTTATATATTTTGGAGATTAATCCTTTGTCTGTTGATTCATTTGCAAATATTTTCTCCCATTATGAGGGTTGTCTTTTGGTCTTGTTTATGGTTTCCTTTGCTGTGCAAAAGCATTGAAGTTTCCTTAGGTGTCATTTGTTTATTTTTGTTTTTATATCCATTACTCTAGGAGGTGGATCAAAAAAGGTCTTTTTTTCTTTTCTTTTCTTTTCTTTTCTTTGCAATACACGGGCCTCTCACTGTTGTGACCTCTCCCATTGTGGAGCACAGGCTCCGGATGCGCAGGCTCAGCGGCCGTGGCTCACGGGCCCAGCCGCTCCGCGGCATGTGGGATCTTCCTGGACCGGGGCACGAACCCATGTCCCCTGCATCGGCAGGCAGACTCTCAACCACTGCACCACCAGGGAAGCCCGATCAAAAAAGGTCTTGCTGTGATATATGTCAGAGTGTTCTTCCTATGTTTTCCTCTAAGAGTTTTATAGTGTCCGGTCTTGCATTTAGGTCTCTAATTCATTTTCAGTTTATTTTTGTGTATGCTGTTAGGGAGTGTTCTAATTTCATTCTTTTACATGTAGCTGTCCAGTTTTCCCAGCACCACTTATTGAAGAGACTGTCTTTTCTCCATTGTATATCCTTCCCTCCTTTGTCATAGATTAGTTGACCATAGGTGTGTGGGTTTATCTCTGGGCTTTCTATCTTGTTCCATTGATCTATATTTCTGTTTTTGTGCCAGTACCATACTGTCTTAATTACTGTAGCTTTGTAGTATAGTCTGAAGTCAGGGAGTCTGATTCCTCCAGCTCCACTTTTTTCGCTCAAGACTGCCTTGACTATTCTGGGTCTTTTGTGTCTGCATACAAATTTTAAGATTTTTTGTTCTAGTTCTGTAAAAAATGCCATTGGTCATTTGATAGGGGTTGCATTGTATCTGTAGATCGCTTTGGGTAGTATAGTCATTTTCACAATATTGATACTTCCAATCCAAGAACATGGTATATCTCTCCATCTGTTGGTATCATCTTTAATTTCTTTCATCAGTGTCTTATCATTTTTTGCATACAGGTCTTTAGTCTCCCTAGGTAGGTTTATTCCTAGGTATTTTCTTCTTTTTGTTGCAGTGGTAAACGGGAGTGTTTCCTTAATTTTTCTTTCAGATTTTTCATCATTAGTGTATAGGAATGCAAGAGATTTCTATGCATTAATTTTGTATCCTGCAACTTTACCAGATTCATTGATAAGCTCTAGTAGTTTTCTGGTGGCATCTTTAGGATTCTCTATGTATAGTATCATGTCGTCTGCAAACAGTGACAGTTTTACTTCTTCTTTTCCTATTTGGATTCCTTTTATTTCTTTTTCTTCTCTGATTGCTGTGGCTAGGACTTCCAAAACTATGTTGAATAATAGTGGTGAGAGTGGACATCCTTGTCTTATTCCTGATCTTAGAGGAAATGCTTTCAGTTTTTCAGCATTGAGAATGATGTTTGCTGTGGGTTTGTCGTATATGGCCTTTATTATGTTGAGGTAGGTTCTCTCTATGCCCACTTTCTGGAGAGTTTTTATCATAAATGGGTGCTGAATTTTGTCAAAAGCTTTTTCTGCATCTATTGACGTGATCATATGGTTTTTATTCTTCAGTTTGTTAATATGGTGTATCACAATGATTGATTGCGTATATTGAAGAAACGTTGCATCCCTGGGATAAATCCCATTTGATCATGGTGTATGATCCTTTTAATGTGTTGTTGGATTCTGTTTGCTAGCGTTTTGTTGAGGACTTTTGCATCTATATTCATCAGTGATATTGGTCTGTAATTTTCTTTTTGTGTGGTATCTTTGTCTGGTTTTGGTGTTAGGGTGATGGTGGCCTCATAGAATGAGTTTGGGAGTTTTCTCTGCAATATTTTGGAAGAGTTTGAGAAGGATGGGTGTTAGTTCTTCTCTAAATGTTTGATAGAATTTACCTGTAAAGCCATCTGGTCCTGGACTTTTGTTTGTTGGAAGGTTTTTAATCACAGTTTCAAATTCATGACTTGTGATTGGTCTGTTCATATTTTCTGTTTCTTCCTGGTTCAGTCTTGGAAGGTAATACCTTTCTAAGAATTTGTCCATTTCTTCCAGGTTGTCCATTTTATTGACATAGAGTTGCTTGTAGTAGTCTCTTAGGATGCTTTGTATTTCTGTGGTGTCTGTTGTAACTTCTCCATTTCCATTTCTAATTTTATTGATTTGAGTCCTCTCCCTCTTTTTCTTGAGTCTGACTAATCGTTTATCAATTTTGTTTATCTTCTCAAAGAACCAGCTTTTTGTTTTATTGATCTTTGCTACTGTTTTCTTTGCTTCTATTTCATTTATTTCTGTGCTGATCTTGATGATTTATTTCCTTCTGCCCTGCATACCGGTTCATCTGTACCATTTTTCTAGGTTCCACATACGTGCATTAATATACGATATTTGTTTTGCTAACTTTGGGTTTTGTTTGTCCTTCTTTCTCTAGTTCCTTTAGGTGTAAGGTTAGATTGTTATTTGAGGTTTTTCTTGTTTCTTGAGGTAGACTTGTATAGCTATAAACTTCCCTATTAGAAATGCTTTTGCGCATCCCATAGGTTTTGGATAGTCGTGTTTTCATTGTCATTTGTCTCTAGGTATTTTTTGATTTCCTCTTTGATTTCTTCAGTGATCTCTTGGTTATTTAGTAACGTATTGTTTAGCCTCCATGTGTTTGTGTTTTTTACGTTTTTTCCCCTGTAATTGATTTCTAATCTCATAGCGTTGTGGTCAGAAAAGATGCTTGATATGATTTCAATTTTCTTAAATTTACTGAGGCTTGATTTGTGACCCAAGATGTGATCTATCCTGGAGAATGTTCCATGCGCACTTGAGAAGAAAGTGTAGTCTGCTGTTTTTGGATGGAATGTCCTATAAATATCAATTAAATCTATCTGGTCTGTTGTGTCATTTAAAGTTTGTGTTTCCTTATTAATTTTCTGTTTGGATGATCTGTCCATTGGTGTAAGTGGGGTGTTAAAGTCCCCCCTATTATTGTGTTACTGTCGATTTCCTCTTTTAGAGCTGCTAGCAGTTGCCTTATGTATTGAGGTGCTACTGTGTTGGGTGCGTATATAATTGCTGTATCTTCTTCTTGGATTGATGCCTTGATCATTACATAGTGTCCTTCCTTGTCTCTTGTAACATTCTTTATTTTAAAGTCTATTTTATCTGATATGAGCATTAATACTCCAGCTTTCTTTTGATTTCCATTTGCATGGAATATCTTTTTCCATCCCCTCACTTTCAGCCTGTATATATCCCTAGGTCTGAATTGGGTCTCTTGTAGACAGCGTATATATGGGTCTTGTTTTTGTATCCATTCAGCAAGCCTGTGTCTTTTGGTTGGAGCATTTAATCCATTCACGTTTAAGGTAATTATCAATATGTATGTTCCTGTTACCATTTTCTTAATTGTTTTGGGTTTGTTTTTGTAGGTTCTTCTCTTGTGTTTCCCACTTAGAGAAGTTCCTTTAGCATTTGTTGTAGAGCTGGTTTAGTGGTGCTGAATTCTCTTAGCTTTTGCTTGTCTGTAAAGCTTTCGATTTCTCCATCGAATCTGAAGGAGATCCTTGCCAGGTAAGAGTAATATTGGTTGTGGGTTCTTCCCTTTCATCACTTTAAGTATATCATGCCATTCCCTTCTGGCTTGTAGAATTTCTGCTGAGAAATCAGCTGTTAACCTTTTGGGAGTTCCCTTGTATGTTATTTGTCATTTTTCCCTTGCTGCTTTCAATAATTTTTCTTTGTCTTTAATTTTTGCCAATTTGATTACTGTGTGTCTTGGCATGTTTCTCCTTGGGTTTATCCTGTATGGGACTCTCTGCGCTTCCTGGACTTGGGTGGCTATTTCCTTTCCCGTGTTAGGGAAGTTTTCAACTATCATCTCTTCAGATATTTTCTCGGGTCCTTTCTCTCTCTCTTCTCCTTCTGGGACCCCTATGATGTGAATGTTGTTGTGTTTAATGTTGTCCCAGAGGTCTCTTAGGCTGTCTTCATTTCTTTTCATTCTTTTTTCTTTATTCTGTTCCGCAGCAGTGAATTCCACCATTCTGTCTTCCAGGTCACTTATCCGTTCTTCTGCCTCAGTTATTCTGCTATTGATTCCTTCTCGTGTATTTTTCATTTCAGTTATTGTATTGTTCATCTCGTTTGTAATTCTTCTAGGTCTTTGTTAAACAGTTCTTGCATCTTCTCAATCTTTGCCTCCATTCTTTTTCCCAGGTCCTGGATCATCTTCACTATCATTATTCTGAATTCTTTTTCTGGAAGGTTGCCTATCTCCACTTCGTTTAGTTGTTTTTCTGGGGTTTTATCTTGTTCCTTCATCTGGCACATAGCCCTCTGCCTTTTCATCTTGTCTATCTTTCTGTGAATGTGGTTTTTGTTCCACAGGCTGCAGGATGGTAGTTCTTCTTGCTTCTGCTGTCTGCCCTCTGGTGGATGAGGCGATCTCTCCCTTGAATTCTTTCTGGTAGGATGGAAACTACTTAATTAGGGCCTACCTGGGGTGCGGGGGGAGATGATATGGACACCATTCTCCTCCACTTGCCTTGGTGCCTTTACCCTGTCTGACCATTTCATGCCCACTAGTGTGTGGGCTTCAGTCACTCACTTGGTTTCTCATGGTTTTATAAATTGATTGCTACTGTTAAGACTGAAATGTACTTTCAGTAACATCATCTTTAGTGCTTCTTAAACAGTATTAACTTGCCTGGCTTCTGTTCCTGTGTTCTTGATTAGTAAGATCACCACAATAACAAGCTGTTCTTCAATTCAGTGACATTTAAAAAAAAACTGTCAAGCCCATCTTGAAGACCAATGCTTTTATGTGTGAACTTTTCCTGGCCCTTCCCCTGGGGTGTTATTTAATGAATGTCATTGTTTCCAGGGGAAAGTTTTCATTTACCGTGGGAAGGAGTATGAACGCCGGGAAGATTTTGAAGCTCGGCTATTAACTCAGTTTCCAAATGCTGAGAAAATGAAGACAACATCTCCACCAGGCGACGATATTAAAAACTCTGCTGGCCAATGTATCCTTTCAGACAGCCATGTCGGATATAAAATGATGGCGATGTCGTTTGTTTGGATGGTTGGGTGTACGTGGGACCTTGCTCCTGGCTAATGACCATGCTGCCTTATGACCCTTAACCCCCTTGACCTTCAGATATTCAATGCTTCACAGTAAAGCCCAAACTCGATTTGCCCCCTAAGTTTCACAGGCCCGTGTCAGAGCAGATTGTAAGGTAACATTTTCCTTACCCAACATGAGGGTGGTGAGAGGCGTACACAGATCGCTTCTTCATAATTTCACGTCTCAGAGGGTGGATGTCAGCCTTTGATTAACTTTTCAGATGCTCTTTCTGTTTACTTCAAAAAGCAAGGGAAATTAGTCATGTTCAGCATCAAAGAAGGGGGAAGGAAGATGTGAACACGTGTGGCCGGGAGGGTGCAAGGCTGTTCCTTATACCCGTGATTGGGAGACAGGGAAAGTCAGGGGGAGAAAGGGGTACTCTGGGCTCCATTTGAGCCACCAGGTGAGAGACCCCCTGTAGACCTTTTCTCCAGGGCTCAGGCCCTGCCCCACACCCCACAGATCTGTCTGTGTGCCTGTGGTGTGGCCTGAGCATTTGGATCCCAGAAGCCAGGAATAGGGATTCAGACATGTGCTCGTGATGCAGAACCAGGTGGGGGATGAGAAGAAGCCTTCACCTGTACAACAGGGTGATTACATAATATGGGATTTGGAGGTAGAATTTTTTTTTTTTTTTTTTTTTTTTTTGTTTTTTGGGGCTTTTTCCTTTTTTGTCCTTTCCCGTTGTGGAGCACAGGCTCCAGACGCGCAGGCTCAGCAGCCATGGCTCACGGGCCCAGCCGCTCCACGGCATGTGGGATCTTCCCAGACCGGGGCACGAACCCGTGTCCCCTGCATCGGCAGGTGGACTCTCAACCACTGCGCCACCAGGGAAGCCCCTGGAGGTGGATTTTAAAACTCACAGGCCAACTGTCCAAATTTGAGTGAGATTTTCTGCATCTACATTGAATTGCCCCTGACTTAGCAGTGGTGTAGAAACACCTACACTAGATGTCTCTTAGATATGAAGAATTTTCTATTTGATCCATGTACTGGTGAAAAACAATTAACCTCTTTGATGGCCTAATAATGCTCAGGATCTGCTTATTTTATATCCTGAAGTTTGGTGGATTGGGTTCTTCTACAAAATTCACTACCATTTCTTTAACCTTTCATCAGCAAACATGGGAAATAAACCAGGACTGGTTTATTGACGGATGATCGCTTTCATAAGGCTTAGGCTTTAAGTTTTGCAACATTTTTTTCTCAGAGAGGCATTAAACACTAGTGAACTCTAGTGTATGCTCAGATATTTCCCTTTGATGTGGGGTGCCCACCTGCGTTTCAGCGCAGGGGGGTAAGTGAGCCTCCCAGCCTGCCTCTGGGATGTGCGTGAAACCCACCCCCTCCCCAGGGGAAGAAGATACAGTCTCCATCTTATGTATGCCACCCTTGGTGGTTGCCAAGTCTGCCTTTTGCAGATCTGCAATTAAAGTATACAAGACCTTTTAAAAAATAAGACATACTTTTACATTTTTAATAACTTATTAGATTAAATTATTTAATTAATTGTTGAACTATGAATTCAAATTTTAAATAGTAAACGCATAAATGGAGAACGAAGGCCTTTCCCCCTCTCCTTTGCTTCACCTTTTCTGTTTTTGCTGGTTTCGCTCTTACTCCGCATCTCTTCTCCCTTGAGCATTGTCAGGGACAGAGAAGAGGCAAAAATTCAAGGTAATTTTTCCACCTGCCAACGTCTCTCTTCTGAGGCTGGCGGGGAAAGAAAGCCCAGCTGTCGCTCCAGGTCAAGGCTGGAGATGTTTTAAGGGATGCACTGACCTATAGGGAGACCGGATCCTGTGTCTAAAAGAAAATCGGCTGCTTTTCTGGTTAAATGTCTAATGATTTCTCTATCTCTGTACAGTTTTTACAGAGTAAACGAGGTCCAGCGATTTGAATATTCTCGTCCGATCCGCAAGGGAGAGAAAAACCCAGACAACGAATTTGCGGTAAAAAAAAAACCACCCCCAAACTCATGCCGTGACTAACAAAACTGTGCATGGAAAAGTGTGTTCTCGAAGGCTCCCACAGTGCAGGATTGAATGCCTTTGTGTGTTATGTGCAGAGATCCTAGCATATTACCCATTCAAATTTAGTGAAATGACGACCATTTCACAGATAGTATCACTAAGGTGCTTGTGATACTGTAAGAAGGTAACTAGTGCTTTGGAGCGTTTCCGTGCTCGGAGCACACTTGCTTCCCTCCTGCGTGTATCTGAGTCTTCCTCTGTGCCCTGGGTCCTGGAGCAGGTGCTGGTGTCTCAGTTATAAATAAGCTCTCGGAGGTGCCGAGTGCTTACATGGCTCTCTGCAGGGGACAAGCAGTCAGGAGGTGAGCTGGGCTCACTACCCAGTGCCCACACCTGAACTTCACTGTGGCACAATACGCCGGAACAGGGTCCCCGCAGGCACAGCTGAATAACAGGCCTCCTGGATGTTGAGAAGCATCCCGGACCTCTACCCACTAGGTGCCAGCTAGAGCCTCCCCGGTTGTGACAACGAATCACGTGTTTCCACACATTGCTAAACATCTTGTTGAAGACACTGCATTAGAGTCATAGAAACGTTAACACAGATTCTTGCAACCTTTTAAAATCTGTACATACAACTGCTTTAATGGATTCCATTTTGCAAAGGCATGAAATAAAGCATAGCGTTTTTATTTTTTAATTAATTAATTTTTTTGAAGTAGAAAAGAATAGCTTTATTGCTTTACCAGGCAAAGGGGGCCACAGGGGGCTAATGCCCTCAAAACTGTATGTTGAAAGCATAGTTTTATTTATTTATTTATTTTTAACGTTAACGTTTCTCTCTCCTCCTGCCCTGAAAAACCTCCTCTGGAAATCCCTAGATAGGCCCATATCTCAAGGTGGCGTTAGCCCCAAGGACCCCTGGCGGGGACCTTGTCTGCAGGTATCTGGGGGTGCAGGGGGTCAAAGTTGAATTAGCACCATGCTGCTGACCCAAAGGGAAGAAGCTCAGAGCACTTTCAGCAAAGTTGCCTTCCACCCACCCTCCCTTTGAAGCCCTGTTTCCTGTAATCTTTTGATCCCCACAGTGATGCCTGTGAGTCTCCAGTCACAGCCCCTGAAAGGCCCTTCCCTTCCCTTCCCGAGCCCAGTTTCCTGTGTGTCAACTAGGATCTTGGAGTTGGGAAATTCTAAGGCTGTCCCCAGTTTCATCACTGGCTCTTTCAAAACCAAAACCCTATTTCTTGGTTAGTGGGGCATCCTGAACCTGTTTGGTGACTCGTTTCACTGTGGCACCGTCTGCAATGGTGAGAGAGGCAAGGCCCCACCTAAGACACCCACACCAGGGCTGGGCTTTCTGAGCCGTCTCTGTTCTGGTCATCACAGCAATAACTCTGTCATTTCTGTAGCACCCTGGCTGCAGGATGTATGGGCGGTTCTTGAATTTCCCTCAGGCCTCTCACGTCTCGCGGCAATGTACGTTCTTATACGGTGTAGGAAGAGACACAAGGAGGTCGAGCAAATTGCCGACAGTTGCGCAGCCATTCGAGGCAGAGCTAAGAATAACCATGGCTCCTGAACTCCGGAGCTGCGCTAAGCCTTAGAGGCTGGGCTCTTTCTAAATGGCCCAGAAATCCCCTAATGGCCCCGTTAGGTTCTCACACACAGATGAGGCTTTCAGAAGCCACGCGATTTAGTCCTTCACGTGCTTGACAAAGCCCCAGGCTTTCAGATAAGCGCAGGGGGTTTGGTGGTAATGGGAGGCCAGGCTGGGGCCTGCTGCAGGGAGCCTGGCTCCCAGGGCCTGGGTGCTGGGAAAGCTGCCCTGCCAGGCCAGCCCGGGAGCTCAGAGCAGCTTGGTGCCTCCAAACCTGGCCACGCATGAAGTTCTGAAACCCAGAGCCGGCAAGGAGGAGGGAGCCAGAGACAGGGTCAACGTGGAACCCGCAGGCCCGTCCCCCGGGGATGCTGGGGTTGGTAGGGAGCAGTGCAGCCTGCTGTTCCAGGCCGGTGCCTGAGCCAGCAGCCCCTGGGGCAGCCGGAGCCTTGACCTGTGTCCCTGGGGCCTCGGCCACGTCCTTCCCCTCTCCCAGCCTGGAATCTGAGGTTTGGAGAAAATGCTTTCTACATGCCAGCCAGTTTTCTGGAAATGTTGACAATCCGTTACGCCATCTTTTTATATCTGGATCACTATGGACAGACTCAGACTGCTCAGTGATTCTCTGTTACTGGGAGGTGTACCAGGCAAAGGCTGCTACCAGCTGGACACCTCGCCGTAGGAGGTGGGAGGAAAGGGTTACGGTTCACCCCTGCAGCGGAGTTCTGTGCGGCCATTAAAGAGGGCTGGAGTTACATTTCCTGGCTTTAAACAACTTCCCGCAGTATGTAATATACCATTTTCGGAAGAATACATTTTCATTGAAAATACACATATACACACTTGTTAATGCTTAATAGGAAGCCTTGAACCCCAGATAGTAAAAGGTTAGGTTGTCATCTTTAGGTACTGAGTGATTTTTCTGCCTTCTATTTCCATGTCTTCATTTTCTGATGTAAATATATATGTTACGCCAAAAAAAAGAAAAAAATTCGTCATTAAAATACTGACTGATTTTATTAGAATGTTGAGAGGTCACTTTTATGAAGCCCAGTCTTCCTCAAGGATTTGCATCTTCAAGTTTCTTTTGAACACTAAGTAAGGCTAACGTAAAGCTCGTTGGAGCCTTTCCAAAAATCTGTCTGCTCAGAGGGAACCTCCCTCGTGTGGATGTATATAATTCTCCCCTTCTATTGTATTTTCTTGGCCAAATGCCAGGGAAACGGGCACCATTGGCCAGGGAACAGGGGGCCACAGTGTCCTGTGTAACAGTCTGGCGGTTCAGCAGAGCATGGCCTGTGAGGTGTTCCCTGGGCGGCTGGTGACCTTGCCTCCCAGACCCTTGCAAATCCCCATGAGGACAGAAGCTGTCATCTACCTGCAACATCCTTCTCCTAACAAGTGTCCTGTGTGTGTTCCCTTTGCAGAATATGTGGATCGAAAGGACCATATACACAACTGCGTATAAATTGCCTGGCATTTTAAGGTGGTTTGAGGTCAAATCTGTTTTCATGGTAAGCACACCCCACAGGAGGAACTGCCCTTCACCCCCTCTTCTACGGTCTGACACGGCCCCTTCCCCGGGCGTGTCATCTGGTCACCGTGGCCGGCAGGCGTGCTTCAGACCCCACATCAGGCTTAACCCAGAATCACTCTCCCCGTCCACGAATACTGCAGTGGAAATGCCGTGTAATCACAACCTCCTCTAGCGTAGAAAGAAACCAGAGCTAAGATTTCATTTCTTTTTACAAAATATTTAAATCTAGTCTTCACTGTGCTGTTTTGACAGTTCTTTCTGTTACCGAAATGAAAAGTTTGACAAATTCCAATTTACATACGTTTTTGAAGATCTTTCTTCCTGATGGTTTTATTGCCATTTACATGACAAACAACTTGATTAATAGTACTTGCTCGTTTTCAAGTAAAAATAGCTTGAGAATATACCCCTCACCCACACTTTTTAAAGAAATAATGACCCGCATCTCATTAGCTAAACTTTGCCTCGGTGATGAGCTATCGGACAGTTCCAGTCACAGGAACCAGAGTTGGGCAGAAGGTTCTTACTGAATGTATAGCAGCAGCAGCGTGACAATTGCCAGTATAACAAGGTCTGATTGGAATACGTGTGCTTTGTCATGTGTCTCAATGCCTTTGGTTTTCACCTGGCAGGATCTTAACCAGAGGGGTGGTACCCACTGTTCAGTTTACCGTGAGTCCCCTTGGAAACTCCTGCTTCTGCCCTAGGACGTGGCTGGCGCCTATCTTCCCAGCCTTGTTTCCACTCCTGACCCTCGTCCACACCAGTTGAGCTCTGGCTGACCTCTCCCTGACCTCTAAGCTCAATTGACCTGTCCCTGAGCATGCGTGTGGTCAGCTGCATCCCATCCCCATCTCCAGCGCCCCCTCCTCCTGCTCTGAAGCCCTAGGGCTCTGGGCCCCCCTCTCCACTCCCGGAGGGCGCCTCTACTTCCTGTGTCCCCAGAGACCCCGCTCTGTCCCCCTCTAGCACCCAGGCAGGCCCTGACCTCTGGAAGGCTCAGGAGACGTGGCAGGTGGCAGAAATGCAAGCCTTCACTGGCACCATTCGGAGCTGGTGATGTACATGCGGGAGACCACAGGACAGGAGACCCTTCCCTAAACAGGCACCACTCCTATCCTCCTGTGAGCCTCTTCCCATAAGCAGTTTGTAATCGGGGACTCCGTGAGCCAGCCCGGATGTGTGAGGATGGTGCTGAACAGCTCGAGGTGGCGAAGGCTGAGCCCTGATTTTCTGTAAGGATGTGGCTCTGCCACGGGCTATGCTTGCCCTTTTTAATGAACGAAGAAAGCTGGAGGCTGAATAATCCCAGGATGGCAGGACTGTAATAATCCTGCTGCCCACACCCCTGGCCCCGCCATCGCTGGGACAGACCAGCAGCTGACCCTCTTGGTTTGATAAAGCTAGGACACTGCTCTTTCTTGCGGCAAACGGGATCAGCGACAGGGAGTTAGCCATCAGTCAAAATGGAATTCTGCCCTGGAGAGTCCATTTGGCAAAGTTATGTGTCTGGGGTGGTGCATTCCAGGGTCTGATAAAGCCAGGTATGGGGTGAAAACAAAGGCCCTAGGGTATGTGTTGTTTGGGGTGCACTTGCAACCAGGGGGCACCCTCAGCGGCCAGCACACGGTCGGCCACCTCTTTGAATGTTACCTCCTCTCCATCAGGTCACCTCTCCGGCAGGTTCTCGCCAGTGACGACTGAGGGTGTCGTTCTAGGGTCTCTCCATTCTCTCAACATCTCTGCACCTCCAACCCCCATCTCTCTACCTCTCAGACAATCCCCAGGGGCTGTAGAAGGAGAAAACAGGCTGCTCTGCTTTGCCATTTGCTAAAGACACCCTAGGGTCCCCGGCACAGGTGGGGACCCGTCCCACTTCCCTTGGGGAAGGGAAGGATCAGGTTATCATGTGTTGTGGTCACCCTTGGACGTGGCTCCGGGGCCCAGCCTAGGGTCTGTTAGAGCCAGGCCTGGTGGGAAGGTGGTGTTATTGTTTTAAACGCGGACGCATCCTCCTGGCACCTGCGGGCTGAGCCAGAGAGGATTGCGGGGCGGGGCCTCGCCAGGCCCTGCAGGGGCCCCCAGAGGAAGAAGGGCACTGGGTGTGGGCAGAGCTGCAGGAGCAGTGGCGAGGTGGGCCCATGCTGGCTCGCCCTGCCTCCTGCTCTGAGGGTCCTGCTGACCAGTGACGGGTTTGCAAGGGAGGCCCGTGAGGTCCAGCTGAAGTGGTGACCACCGGGCAGGGGGGGCTCTTCCTTCCTATAGGAGGGCGTGTGGCCTCCTGTGGAAACCACGGCAGGACCCCTCCCCCGCTCCCCTAACCAAGCAAGTCCAGGGACACAGCGCCCAGACCTCCTGCCTCAGGGACAGGGAGAGATTGCTCAAAATTCCTTAAGACAAGCAACGAACAAGGCCATAGTTCAAAGGCTGCTTTGTGAGGCACGTAGACTGTGCTCAAGTGCCGCTCAGGGCTGTGTTTCCCTGGGATGACCGGACGTGTGCATACGCACGCATGCGCGCACACACACGCATACACACGTGCATGCGCGCACACATTCCCCAGGACTAGGTGACCTTGCGTTGTGCCTTTGGAGCTTGCATGTGGGGACAGGTCTATGGAAACACATAAAGATCCTAAAATGCCCGGCTTCTCTCGGCTGGGTGATGAGGGACCTTTGCTCCAAGAAGCCACTGGGAAGAAAAGTGCGTGGAGAGTAGGAAGCCTGCCCCACTCGGAGTGTGTGTCCTCTGGCGAGGAGCCAGAGGCATCAGCAGAGGCCCTGGCAGGACAGGGGCCGCGGCAGCTGGCCCGATGCCATTCCGTCCTCCCCCTTCCGCAGGTGGAGATCAGCCCCCTGGAGAACGCCATCGAGACCATGCAGCTGACGAACGACAAGATAAACAGCATGGTGCAGCAGCACCTGGACGACCCCAGCCTCCCTGTCAGCCCCCTCTCCATGCTCCTGAACGGCATCGTGGACCCCGCCGTCATGGGAGGCTTTGCAAATTACGAAAAGGCAAGTGACATGCCAGCTTCCTCTTTCCAGCCCTGTCCTGGGACGGACTGTCTCCAAGCCCGGGAACTACTGCGGTCTCACTGAGCGAGCTCCGCAGTGACTGAGCCCAGGCCCGGCCGGCCTGGGCATTGTCCCCTCATCTTCACCCCGCAGCGGGCTGTGCTAACGGAGCCCTAGAGAGTGACCCTCGTGACAGTCCAGAGGCCTGGGATCATTAAAGGCCAAAAGATACAGTTTCAGTGAAAGACAAAAGGCTTAGAATATTTAAAATAGATGGGAGTCTGGTGCAGTGGGGACAGCCAGCTGGTCTCCCTGGAAAATATCTCAGTGAGATCAGGCAGAAGCTGAAGATCGTGGGATGTACTCTAGACAAGGGGTCTGCACGACAGCCGCCACCTGATTTTGTAAATCAAGTCTGGGACGTGGCCACGGCCATTCTCTTACTTGGTGTCTGTGGCTGTTTTCCTGATATAACGGTGGCAGAGTTGAGGCCCTTCACAGAAAAGGTTTGCTGCCCCCTGGCCTAGACAAAGTGGAAACTGAAGCAGAAGGGGCTCTGCCTGAAAGTGGGCTGTGAGGCGAAACTGCCCTGGACCCTTTGGAGAGGTGATGCTCTGTTCCAGCTCCCTTCAGCTGTAGGGCGGACCTGGCATGGGGGTCAGGGGCACGAGAGCAGCTGGGGAGCTGCCTCCCAGCGAAGTGAGTGACCCGGGTCAGCTGTGGCTTTGCTGGGCTCCATGGACGGGGCCGCCACAGTGAGTGAACAAAGTCCATTCGTTGTGCTGACCTTACTGGATGTTTTGCTGGGGTAGGGTCCAACCCTGGGGGGAACGAGCTGGGTGATGGCCGGGGTGTGCGTCTGTTTCACACACAGCTCTCTCCCCAGGCCTGGTGTACAGAAATGTGTGTTGATGTACTAAGTGTCTCTCCCTGTCTCCACCAGGCCTTCTTTACAGAGCGGTACCTGCAGGAGCACCCCGAGGCCCACGAAAAGATCGAGAAGCTCAAGGACCTGATTGCATGGCAGGTAAATGTCCAGCGGCAGCTGCAGGGCCCGAGGCGGGGAAAGTGGAGTCTGGGACCAGATCTACCAGGGCCACCTTGGCACACCTGCCAGCCGCCACGGAGGACCCTGGACCTCAGCCAGAGCACCCGTGACCATGTCTGTCCCGGATAAACCCGTTCACCACTGCCGTGATTAACTCGACCCCTGGCTGTAGTCATGCATTTGAACACCTAGAAAGTTCTGTCTTGCAAATGAGCCTGGTCTGTTCCCTCCCCTCGGTCAGTGCAGTGCCTGCTGGGAAATCTTTGCCTGGTATCGACAGAACGGAACATCACGGGCAAGGTCAGGAAACAGTGATGCCCTAGAGACCGTGGCTCCAGCCTGTCCTGGGAGGGCGCTCGAGCCAATGCCATCGGCGTGAGAGGTGGGGATGGGAAACCGCCGAGCACCCACCCTCCTGTTCCTCGTGCCGGTGGTCAGGGTTGGGGGAAGGGGTCCTCATTTCTGTTTCCGCAGCTGTAATTAATTCTGCATATTTGGCTTTTCTGCTTGTGCTCCTGAGGCCTTCTGAGTCTTTCCTTAGCGGGACATGGTCTGGAAAGGCTGGGCAGCCCTGGAGGGTGTCCTGGGCTCCACTGGAAGTTCCCTTTTCATGTGTCTGGGCTTCTGGAGCTTTCATGAGCCTGGAGGCGGAGGGGACGTCCAGACCCAGTTCCCGTGGGAGCTCTGCCTACTTGCTCTGGACTTTGGACAGCTTGCTTCTTTAAGCTTCCTTTTCTCACGTGGGAGGCAAGGAGGATGCTGCTCATCTACACCCTACACGCCAGGCTGGGGGAAGAGGGCTGAGGAAGGCAGAGGCCAGGGTCTCCCTGTGCCTGGGCGGCATCCCACCCTGGCCCTGGGGGTCCCAGGCTGTGACCAGTGCTCTGTGGCCGCTTTGCTCCCGGCCTCCCTGGAGCCTCACCAGCCTCCCTTGGAGCCTCACCGTCCTGGCTTCGTCATCAGCACATGGGCTGTGTGACCTGTTAGGGTGGAGCGGGGCTGAGTTTTGGTTTCAAGCCTAATTACAAGTATTTATTTTATATCTATAAAATATATATGGATATTGCTGTGATAAAATTTATGTAACATAAAATTTACCACCTTAGTCATTTTTACGTACACAGTCCAGTGGCATCAAGTATGTTCCCGTCGTTGTGCAGCCATCACCACCATCCATCTCCAGAACGTTTTCATCTTGCAAAACCACTGTGTACCCAATAAACAATAACTCTCCATCCTCCCCAACCCTGGAAACCACCATCCTACTTTCTGTCTCTATGAACTTGATTATTCTAGGGACCTCATATAAGTGGAATCATACATTGTCCTTTTGTGACAGGCTTATTCCACGTAGCGTAATGTTTTTAAGGTTCATCTGTGTTGTAACACGTGTCAGAATTTCGTTCCTTCTTAAGGCTGAATAGCATTCCACTGTCTCTATAGACCACTTTTTACTTATCTGTTCATTCGCTGATGGACACTTGGGTTGCGTCCACTTTTGCTATTGTAAATGATGTTATAATGAACGTGGGTGTACAAATATCTGTTCTCTTTCCTGCTTTCACTTCTTTTGGGTATATACCCAGAAGTGGATTGTTGGATCATATAAGTCTATTTTTAATTTTTTGAGGAAGGACTATATTGTTTTCCACGGCAGCTGCATTATTTTCCATTCCCACCAACAGTCATGCACGATGGTTCTGCCTCATCCTCGTCAACATTTGTTATTTTTTGGTTTTCTTTTTGTTTGTTTTATAGCCGCCATTCTAATGGGTGTGACTTTGCCACAAATCCGTAGGCATTTGATATCAATTTGCCTTGGAATTCTTCTGTGATAAGACACCTTGGGAGCTGAATTTAAGGGAACTTTTTGGCCATGATGGTTTCTTTGCACAAGATGTAAGCCTCAGGTAGGCAGTCTCCCTCTGTTACTAAAAAAGAGGGAGAGAATTTAAAGGTCTGAATGATTCCATCTTAGATGTTGTAAAAACCAAAGGGTACAAAATTCAAAACTCCACTGAAGGCTATATAAAACCATTGCTACACAAAAACTAGTTTGGTCTGCAAAAGTTCTATTGATTTTTTTTTTTTTTTTTTTTTTTTACTGTAAGCTGTTACAGAAAATTGGATTTTAAGAGTTTCAAGCCCTACAGAGGAAAATAATTTGTTCCCCAGAGAGAACTTTATGTCAGCACTATGTCATCACCCCTAATAAGTATATTAAAGGATGAATTTTAAAGTAGCTCACAGGAAAGTCGGGGAAAAAAAAATCTGGTTTCTAGCCACTTCATTAAATCAAAGAGTGATGAAAAATACATATTCAAAACATTACCTGTGATCTTGCTTTCATTTGCAAATGTTTTGAAGATTCATCTTTTAATAGCAGTAATTGAGTCATACGCTCATTAAAAATAAGAAGTTTGGGGTTATCGGAATGCTTTCTTCTGGTTTTGTGTCAATTTATTTGGTTTGGTTTTTTTCCTGAATATCAGGGCAAAGTGAGGTTTTCCTCCTGGGAATCCCAAGGGTTCATTGGCAGGGTTTCCATCACTGATGCCTAAAATCATTTGTGAAGGCTGGTTATTAAGTCCCAGGCAGCTCCTGGCTCTGCTGTTGCCGTTGCTGAAACAGAGGGTGCTGACCCCCTCGCAGGCAGGAGCTGGGGTCGGGTGCAGGCTGCCTGGGGCCTCTTCTAGGTTTGCGGCTGACACCAGGTCAGCAGTGAGCGCCAGCCCCTTCCTCGAAGGCACAGCTCCATCTTCCCTCACACGCAGCTGTCTTGTTGGGCATCCCTGCTCTGTGTCCAAAGATGAATCCATATAGACTCATATGAAACCACTGTGGTGCATGCATATTTCTCTTTTTTTTTAATTTATTTTATTTATTATTTTTAGCTAGGTTGGGTCTTTGTTGCTGCACATGGGCGTTCTCTAGTTGTGGCAAGCGGGGGCTACTCTTAGTTGCGGTGCCCGGGCTTCTCATCGTGGTAGCTTCTCTTGTTGTGGAGCACGGGCTCTAGGCATACGGGCTTCAGTAATTGCAGAACACGGGCTCCGGTAGTTGTGGCACGCGGGCTCAGTAGTTGCGGCACACGGGCTCAGTTGCTTTGCGGCATGTGGGATCTTCCCGGACCAGGGCTCGAACCTGTGTCCCCTGCATTGGCAGGCGGATTCTTAACCACTGCGCCACCAGGGAAGCCCCATATTTCTCTTTTGAAATGCACAGAGATGAAAGACCAAACCCATTCATCATCCCCAGCCGATGACAGTCGTACCGATGTCACCAGTGGTGGCGCTCCTGGAACACTTAGCAGTGCTTCCAAATGTTCTTTGCCGCTGGCAGGCCATGAATCCGTGTAGGGGACACACAGGAGCAGACTTCAAATACAGCACCGCCATTTAGAAGGGTGTCTTTTGAGAGCAGGCTGCATGCTCTCTTTGAACAACTAGAGGTGTGACTTTGGGGAAGTCCTCCCCCGTCTCTGGGCTCTGGGAAACTCTTCAGATGTGCAGCCTCCTGGGATCCACTCTAGACCAAATCAGGGCTCCGGGGGTGGGATTCAGGAAGCTGCTCAGCTTGGTTGGAATCCAAAGACCATTCCAGGCCTCAGTCCATGGCTTCTGTTTGTATACTAAGCACCTCATATGTTGGAGTGTTTGCACAGAGCATCTTTTTATTCATAGCTTAAGTTCAGCCCCGAGCAGACATAGAACAAGGGCCAGATCCCACCCTTCTTTCAGAAGGTTATATCTGACCAATGTCAGGGACCTGTTGAGGGGATACATTTCATACCCCATAAATTTCACCTGCCAGATCACCGTTCATTCAGTCCCAAGACCTGAACCAAAGGGTCTTAACTTTAGTCCAGCAAGTAGCTTCTTTGATGTCAAGAATCTGGCCAATGAAGAGTTTTATCAAACCAACAACAACAGAAAAAAGCAGAAATGATTGGACCACACTTTTATACATTTGAGAGAGGGCCGTTTTACAAGATGCTTTCAGGATCTAGAATGGCTGTGCTTTAACCTTGAGACAGCACCCTGACGTTGTCTTCACGCCCAGATAGCCACAACACGTTTACCACCTCACCAAAAGTTGTCTGCAGCCTGCCTTTGCCGACCCCCAGGAAGCAAAAGGATTTCTGTGAGCATTTTCTTCTGTTGAACCTGAACAAGCTGCAGCTAGCCCCTGGAGGCTGCCATCTGCAAGAGTAATTCGTATGGAATAGTAAAACGTCCCATCTAGTTTGAAAGCTTAGCTGCATGCCGTCCTGTTGGTGATAGCCGTTCGGAAAGGGGTGCCTGGCGTGTACCTTTAAGCCCAACTGTCAGCCAAACACACTTTGTGCCAGGGCAGCTCGAGAGCAGGCTGGGTGGTGTAAACACAGGGGAGCGCTCACTTATTCCGCCCTTTCCTGGAGCACCACGAGAGGCACCAGCTGCGTGCTATAAATGGCAACCAAATACATTTTATGCCTTGATTCATCTTGATAAGATTTCTTGAATTTGTTCACATGAAATTCAATTGTGTACTTATTATCCTCCTTACTAATAAATCTGCTCATTTAGATTGGTGTTCTGTCATATTAAGAAAATCTGTTTTTAATCAGTATTTTGATTTAATTGTAAATTATTAAGAGGAAGCCTCTTAGCTTGATTGCATTGAAGAGCATCTACCTCCCGGTCTGAGCCTCAGGGGAAGCAGAAGCCAGGGGAAGAAAGGAGGCTTTCTCACACCCACCCCCAGCGGCTGTGACTCCGGAGGGTCTCTGGGGCTGGGGAATGAAAATGTCTCTACGACGCTTTTAAAGGTCAGCTGTATCTCCACGCTCCGATGTGAAGTCTTGGCATGGATGTTTGTGACAGCAGTGTTGGCAGAGACATGATTCTTTTTAGTTTTAAGGAAGAATAAATTTGGTTTTCCTTTCCACATAAGAACATCCTTCAGGACTATAGATCACGTATTATTAGGCTTTTTACATTTTGGAATAGGGTTCTCACTTGCCTGTAGAGGCAATATTCTTAGCGAAAAAAATCTTTGTACTGTGACTTGGCCCTTTGCTAACAGATCAAGTCATAGCTAAACAAATCCAAAACGCAGCCCTTCCCAAATTCAAGTGGAAAGCACAGAGAAGTCTATTCTGGGGTTGATGGTCAAATGTGAGTCAGGCAAAGTAACGGAGCAGCCGTGTGCTGCATACCGCACTAGTCGTGTCCGACTTAAAACACAAATGCTTGTCATTTACACATTTTGGTCTGGGGGAGTAACCTGCCTGATGATGAATTTAATCAGCCGGTTTGACTGGGAAACCAAAGCAGATGCATTTTGCACGTTGCCACTTTCTGCCTGGTGTGCATTTCTCTCCCTAGACCACTAAGCAAGAAATAAGGAACGTCAACCTGTATGTCTTTCAGATTCCATTTTTGGCCGAAGGGATCAGGATTCATGGAGACAAAGTCACAGAAGCACTACGGCCATTTCATGAGAGAATGGAAGCCTGTTTCAAACAGTTAAAGGAAAAAGTGGAGAAGCAGTACGGAGTCCGGACCATGGTAAGTGGCTGGCGCGGCAGAGGGGAGGGAGCGTGTCTCTGTGTCACACTGTCCGACTGTGACAGGCTCACAGGGCCGAGTACTTGAGTTGTGTACGTGACGCCTGCTTAGGAAGTGAGATAAGGAACCTCCGCCCCTTCATCATTTCATGTGCCAGCAAACTAGGCACCACCTCTCGCCAACTGGAAATGTCAGGGTGTAAACGTTCCTGAATTTGCTTGATCACCGAATACCCCACTTATGGCTGTGAACACAAGCTCCCCATCGTGTGTGGAGCAACAGAAAGATCTCATAGATCCGTGCGACGACGCAGGCTGGTTCACAGAGACCACACCTCCAGTAACACGACACGCACGAAGGGTTAAATAACACACAGGGAAACAGCACTCACGATGTCCCAAAGCCGAGGTAGAGCCTGTGCCCAGGCCAAGGTCAGAGTCACTGAGGGGAGTAGTGGAGTGCTGAGGTCTGAAGCTGTTACCTGTTGGAGGAAGGGGTCACTGATCTAGGCTGAGGGTAAGTTGCAGGAGACGGGCGGGACGCTGGCTGGAGGGAGGACTCACTTAGCAAAGGCTGAAGGCAGGGATTTGAATGGCAGAGGCCAGGGGCCGGCGCAGACACAGCCATGCCTTGGACAGAAGACAGATTGTAAGGAGGAGCTGGGAAGGTGACCAGCCCCCCAGAGCCTGGAATGCCAGGATGTTCCGGGCTGAAGGATAGACCTGAGCTTTTTTTCTTTTTTTAACATCCTTATTGGAGCATAATTACTTTAAGCTGAGACAAAGTGAGAGTGGGATGGACATATATACACTACGAAATGTAAAATAGATAGCTAGTGGGAAGCAGCCGCATAGCACAGGGAGATCAGACCTGGGCTTTTGCTAAGAGTTGGTGGAAGGTCTCCTAACCAGGGCTGAGATCAGGAGCATGGTAAAAAAGTGGCTAGGCATTTTTATGGATGCAAAATACCTGACAGCTTAAGCCTTATGGTGGGCTTGAGGCAGTCTTCATGAGCCATGCCTTAGCAGCTCCGGGGGCAGGGCCAGACACCTCACATCAGAGCACCCCTGTGGCGCCGTTCAGAGCATCACTTCCACCCTTACTCAGGGTCTCTGGGAGCCTTGGTGAGTCCTAGCCTTGACGGCTTGTGGACTCGGGAAACATCTGGCCTAGCAGATGGCTTGAGGCCCCCTTTCTCCATTGTCCGGGGGTGAGCATCAGTGTCGCAAAAAGAGGCAGCGAGACCTCTTCTGGTCTGCTGGAATCCCATGCCTGCTGGCGTGGAGGGGGTGTATGCGAGCAGGTCTTCTGTTATCCTGCAAAGGGAAGGCAGGCTGCAGGAGTTACTCCACCTCTCCTAACACAAGATGCTCTACCTCCTAAAGAATCAGGTGTCCAACCAGGTGCACCATTTTGGTTTCTTTTCTGACCCAGCTCCATCTTTCTGCCGTTCTCTAAAGTTCTCTGCTGTCCCCTGTTGAGCTGGCTTCTTTTTGTTCACCCGTTTATCTCACTTAGCAAACACTAATTTAGTGCTTACCATGTGCCAGGGACCTTTCCGAGGTTTTTAACAATTATGAACTTCTTAGGTTCCTGCAACACGAGGAAGGAGACACTGTGCGCATCCCCATTTTATACATGGGGCAACAGGACATGGGAAGGTTCACTAGCCCGAGCTTACACGAGTAAGTGGCAGAGCTCTTCTTCTCTTGCCTTTGTGGTTGGAGACATGTAGGAGAGCCAGACCACCCCTGAGAGGGGTTATGCTCTATGCTCTCCCACCCTCCCCATCCCTGCCGGCCATGCCTGGGCCCCAGAGCCTCCAAGCCCAGCACCCTGGTGCTCATCAAATGAGGTGCCTTTGGCCTTGACCACGGCAGAGCATGAGCCTGACCAAGCCAAGAGTAACACAACCGCCGGGCTATGGTCTGAAGACTCAGCAGGCAGGAATCTGGGACCGTCAGCCCAGCAGGAACTGCAACAGGTGAGCAGGCTTAGAAATCAGGACCACGCTGGAGGAGCCTTCACTGCAAGTCAGAATCCTCGAGCTGTGTCTCATCCCTCTGGAGCTTGTGACTCATTACAATCAGCGTCAAGTGGCCAGAAGAGTTTCAAAGTACATCACGGTGCACCTCTTTCAAAGTCTGATGCCACTTTTAATTCTTTCTGAGAAATAAACACTTGTGAAATCTCCAGGTTTTCTTACTAAGTGAAAAGCTTCCTCTTTGATCAATCATTTCATGTATATTTCAGGAGGACAGAAATCTGGCTCGCCAGACGTCCTTCATATCCCTTTCTCTGCTGTGATTCATGAGTTCTCTGCCGGCTGTGCTTGCACACGGGGGAGGAGGGAAGAAGGGCAGGGCGGTTGTGTAGGCAGTGGGACGTCCTCGGCCGGTGGTGATGACCCATTTGCACCGCAGTCTGAGACGGCATCTTCTCCACCGAGGTCCCATCCCGAGGCAGGGGCAGCCAAGGCATCTCCACCACCACCCCCCAGCCAGGGGTTGACCAGGCTTATTGGGAATGAAGTTGGGGACAGAATTAAGGATGCATTTTCCACCCGTGGATGCTTTGTCCCCTGGAGCTGCTTCCCTGAGTCCATCTCCATCCTGGGACTCCAAAGGCAGGCTCTGCGGCCAGCCTCCCTTGAGCAGACAAAAGGTCAGGCAGATACCTTGTCATCCTCTGAAAACTGTGGTGATAAAATGCCATCTGGAATGAGGCTTTCCCGTCTTACCTACTTGGAGAACTTTCAAGCTCCTCAGAATACTTTCAAAAGCAATACAGTATCATCCTGTTTTAAAAAAGATGGATTTAAAAGTAAAATCCCCAGGGCTTCCCGAGTGGCGCAGTGGTTGGGAATCCGCCTGCCCATGTGGGGGACACGGGTTCGAGCCCTGGTCCAGGAAGATCCCACATGCCACGGAGCAGCTAAGCCCGTCACCGCAGCTACTGAGCCTGCGCTCTAGAGCCTGCGAACCACTACTGCTGAGTCTGCGTGCCACAACTACTGAAGCCTGGACGCCTAGAGCCCATGCTCCGCGACAAGAGAAGCCACCGCAGTGAGAAGCCCATGCACCGCAACGAAGAGCAGCCCCCGCTCGCCACAACTAGAGAAAGCCCGTGCATGGCAACGACCCAACGCAGCCAAAAAATAAACAAAATTTTAAAAAATAAAATAAAAATAAAAACCCATAGAAAGGACATAAACCATTTTGTCAATTTTTCTGGGTCAGCCTAAGCCATAGAAAGGGAAGACTTGGACACCCTCTGACTCCTAATCCACCGGCGGCTCCATGGGACACCCCCGACCCGCTCAGCTTTGGCCTTCATTCAGACAGTCCTGGGCTCTAAGGTGCCACTGCTCCCCGGATGAAAGCACAGGAGCCTGGCCTCCTCCGTATACTTAGATAGTGAAGAGTGCAGACCCGGGGTCCCCAGAGAAGAGGCCACGAGCACCAGCCACGTTCAGCACTGGTCCCCAGCTCCTGGGGAGAGGGCTGGAGTGAGTCTGTGCTTCAGGCCGTGGTAACAACGGCAAGGGCAACGGAGGCTGTGGTTCAGAGCGTGGCCCGCCCTACGTGCGTCACCTGCGTCATTTCAGCTCATCCTCGCCGGCCTCTCAAGGTGGCATGATTATTCCCTACATGCTCAGGAGGAAGCTGAGGCCCAGAGCAATTCTGTGTTTTATGCCAGGTCACCTAGTCCATGCCAGAGCCAACATTCCCGCCTAACTCTAACCACCCCCCTCCACTGCCGGCCCCGCTGCAGGGACAGAGACGTCCCCTCTCTCCAAGTGTCCTAGCGCTGGAGCTACCCCATCAGGGCTGGGAGAGACCAGCTGCTTCAGATGAAAAAACAAAAGCCCTGGATCCTCCATTTCTAGAGGCTCTGCTTGGTCAAGAAGGAATTGGGAGGTGAATGGCCCGGGAGGACCCAGGGCCACACCCAGTGGCTGCCCTGCTGATGTGGGACCCAGACTGGCTTCTGTCCCTCCTCTGCCAGAGCCAGCTCCTGCCGTCCCCCTTCCTTTGTTCTTCCCAATCCGTGCTTGTGCATCCCGACCAAGACTCAAGGCTGCCTCTCAGGGTAAATCACCAGCCCTCTGTGGTTGCAGGTTGGATGCTCACGGCTGCTTCCTGGGTCTTCCCATGAGCTGGATGAGGTCATCCTGTGGCCACTTGCACCTCTTGGTCCCTGGCCGGCTCCCTCCTGTGCACCCCCTCCCTCAGCGCTGGCTGCCATGAAGATCATTTCATCAGAGAAATGGAAACCGTCATGCTGGGCGCTCTTAGGAATGGGGGCTCACGGCACCCAGATGCCAGATGGGTCGTGTTTCTTCTCTGCCGTAAGCAGAGCGGCATTTCCTGGAAGGCTGCGTCTCCACGTACCCAGAAGATGATGGACAACGGAGGCAGCATCTGCCAAGCCAGAAAAATCACCCGAGCACGAGGTTGATGGCTGTCTTCTCCTCTGCCCGTCACCTGGATCCAGAGAGGACGGGGTTGAAGTCAAGCTGAGGAGGTTGCCGGGGAGAAGTGGGAAGGCAGCCCCTCGCGGGTCAGGAGGTGGTTTGAGCAGGTGGGTGCTCAGAAAGACAGTCCCCAACTTCCGGAACGCTGCTCCCCGCCTCTGAGCCGTCCTCAGAAGCTGCTGCTCTGGAAGAACTGGCAGGGGAGAGCCTGGGGTTTGAAAGGCAGCGGCCGTGAACAGGTCTCACTCAGAGCATCAAGAGGGTCAGAGTCCCACAGAGATGCCAGAGAGAGGAGCGGTAGCCGAGCTGGGCACGGTGGTACCAGGGGTAGCAGATGGGGTGGTCAGGACGCACCTAGAGTAGCAGGCAGGACTCTTCCTGGGGAGGGTCAGGAACGGAGGGACCCAGAACAGGCTCCCAGGGCTCAGCCGCAAGGCTGGGTGAGAGGAACACTTCTGGCTTTGGATTGCCGTCTGAACGTGTTGAAGAAAGGGAAAGTACTGAATGGGAGAAAGTATCTGCAAATGATAGGACTGCCAAGGGGTTAATGTCCAACATATATAAACAGCCTATGTGACTCAACATCATAAAAACAAGCAACGCGGTTAAAAAAATGGCCAGAGGACCTCAGTAGACATTTTTTCAAAGAGGACATGCAGATGGCCAAGAGGCACATAAAAAGATGCTCAACATCGCTAATCACCGGGGAAATGCAAATCAAAACCACAGTGAGATATCACATCACACCTGTCAGAACGGCTGTCATCACAACGAACACAAATGACAAATGTCGGTGAGGGTGTGGAGAGAAGGGGAGCCTTGTGCACTGTTTATGGGAGTGTAAATCGGTGCAGCCAGTGTGGAAAGCAGCATGGAGGTTTCTCAAAAAACTAAAAGTAGAGCTACCCTATGACCCAGCAATCCCACTCATGGATATATATCTGGAAAAACCAAAAACAGTCATTCAAAAAGATACATATACCCCAGTGTTCATAGCAGCATTATTTACACTTGCCACGATGTGGAAGCAATCTAAGAAGATATGATATATATATATGAATACCACTCAGACATAAAAAAAGAATAAAGTGTTACCAGTTTGCAGCAAAGTGGATGGACTTGGAGGGTATTATGCTCAGTCAAATAAGTCAGAGAAAGATAAACACTGTATGATATCACGTATATGTGAAATCCAAAAACTACAACAAACTAATGAATATAACAGAAAAGAAGCAGACTTACAGATACAGAGAACAAACTAGTGGTTACCAGTGGGGAGAGGGAGAGGGGAGGGACACTATAGGGGTAGGGGATTAAGAAGTACAAACTATTAGGTATAAAATAAGCTACAAAGATATATTGTACAACACAGGCAATATAGCCAGTATTTTATAATAACTATAAATGGAATATAACCTTTTTTTAACATCTTTATTGGAGTATAATTGCTTTACAATGGTGTGTCAGTGTCTGCTTTACAACAAAGTGAATCAGCTATACATATACATATATCCCCATAGCTCCTCCCTCTTGCATCTCCCTCCCTCCCACCCTCCCTATCCCACCCCTCCAGGCGGTCACAGAGCACCGAGCTGATCTCCCTGTGCTGTGCGGCTGCTTCCCACTAGCCACCTACCTTACGTTTGGTAGTGTATATATGTGTCCACGCCACCCTCTCGCTTTGTCACAGAAATGGCTGAGAAGAGGATATTGTAGACTGAGTTTCTAGAAACATTTTTACAATTTGGGTTAATCTGCAAGTCACCACTTCCTTTTAAGTTTTCCTTATAAAAGCCAATTAATGACAATGGCTGTCTCCCTGGAGATGGGCCATGGCACCATCATTGGTGCTAAACCCAAGACGGACCAGACCCTCTGTGCTGGCAGATTTCAGCTGCATGTTGAGCCAGTGATCAGTAAACTATGGCCTGACACCTGTTCTTGTAAATAAAGTTTTATTGGAACACAGCTGTGCTCACTTATTTCTGTACTGGTTATGACTCTTTTCATGCTTGGGACAGAGACCTTATGGCCCACAAGCCTAAAATACTTACTATCTGACCCTTTGCAGAAAACAGTTACCAGCTTCTGCTTTACACTGCTCTTCAGCAATTTTGAACCTTTTACTATTTTTTAAAATTTTATTTTATTGAAGTATAGTTGATTTACAACGTTGTCTTAATTTCTGCTGTACAGCGAGATGATTCAGTCATACATATATGTATATATAAATACATTCTTTTTCATATTCTTTTCCATTATAGTTTATCACGGGATGTTGAATATAGTTCCCTGTGCTCTACAGTAGGACCGTGTTGTTTATCCATTCCGTATGTAATAGATTGCATCTGCTAATCACAAACTCACAATCCATCCCTCCTTTTCCCCTTGGCAACCACAAATCTGTTGAACCTTTTACTATTGAAGAGATAGTGTACAGATCAAATAGTATTTCATGGGCAAAACAAATATTTAAGAAACAGACCGTCTTTTCAATGGTGTTGTACAATCTGTAATCACCCGTGGTCCCGGGCAGGTCTTCTATAGGTGATGGGCTGAATGAAACACCAGCTTTGGTGGAGTGGGGATGGGCTTTAGGGAGGTTGAAGCCACACCGAGAGGGAATGCCCTACAGGAATTTGGTTTCCGCATCCTCAGGTTAAAGAAAGGAGCTTCTGCTGCAGCTGCCATCCCAGATGTGCCAACATCTGGCTCGGGGTGCAGATACACTAGCATTTTGTAGCTAATTAGGTGTTGACATGTGCTGTATTTCAGTGACACTTATTTTGTTAATGTACAATAGTATGACATGACAAAGAGACGATGGAAAACTCTGTCCAGAGACCGTTCTTCTGTAGAATGCATCGCTGGTCCACTTTCTGGTGAGGAGGAGTTTTAGCAACGCCAGCCATGGATCCATCTAATCCATTGTACCAGTCGCTGGCAGGGGAGGAAATCCACCTTTAATTAAGCAGCAGGTGCATCTTATTTTAGTCTAGAAAAGTTCAGTCATTATGCATCCATATATTTTAGTGATCTTCTTGGTTTGTCACCATGCAGATACAAAGTTCATCTAAAGATCTTGTAAAATTCTTTCACATTCTAGATATTTTTCTACAAGTTAAATTTTCTGATCAGTACATTGTACTGTGACTCTGGAACAAGTTGATGCCTTGTGGTCTTGGTAAAGAAAACTGCTTTTTAAATTTTTTTTTAAAAAGTTCTTCCTGGTATTTTTCACAATATCAAATCAGATTTCAAAAAGCCTCCAAATAATCATCGTTTTTGTCTTCAACTTTGAACAAGCACATGCACTGTTCATGAAAGTGTGGACAATTTTGATCTAGATTCCGCGCTGCCAAGACCACCTGGTCCGAGGTGTCTGCCCGTGCTGCCAGGCTGGGCGCCTTTTGCCACAGCATCAAACAAGTCTCTCTCTCTCTGTTTCTCTCCCCTCTGCCCAACCCAGCCCTCAAGTCTGGACGACAGAAGAGGCAGCCGTCCCCGGTCCATGGTCCGATCCTTCACAATGCCTTCCTCGTCCCGGCCTCTGTCTGTGGCCTCTGTCTCGTCCCTGTCATCAGACAGCACCCCTTCCAGGCCGGGCTCCGACGGGTGAGTCTGGCTCAGCAGCCAGGGAGGTTTGGGTGGGGCTTCAAGGAGCCACCCAGGGCCCTGGGTTTGTTTCGTCACACCTGAGAGGGTTTTTAAAAATCAAAATTCTCTTTGAAATGGAGACCATCCAAGACTTTTACAATCATGATGCCACTAAGACTTGTAGAGTCTTGTGAATTTTTGAGTAAAAATTTCTCGCTTTGGGTACCACTTTGGATGAGGTTTCCATCAAATTGTAAAACCTCCAGGTGAGTGTTCAGTGCTTTTCAGCAAGTCCCGGAAGCAGTGTGATGCGTTCCTTGCCAGCTGCGTGCTTGTACTTTTCATCTCTTGCTCACTTCCAAGGTGTCACGCTAGGGCAGGACTGTCACACACAGGCAGGCTTCCTTGATTGCTGGCAGGGCCACCTTCTTTCTACAAGATCTCTTTGGAGACCCAGTTTTGCCCTTGAGCACCGGATGGCACAAAGCAACTAAGAAGGGATCAAGAACGGAACGGACGGGTGAACATTTCATTGAGCTCCCACTGTGTCTCCTGCAAAGAGAACCTCGTTATTGACATTTTTGTGTGTTTTGTGACTAGCATATATGAAAAGTTTGTTCTGATTATACAGAAAGAAAAAATGTCACATGCAATTTAAACAGTAGAGAACTTCTAATTGGTTTGCTGTCGAGTTTGCACAGTTGTGTGTTTGTCCAAGCCCATTTGGTTTACAATCCATCATCCCATCCTATCAAACTCACAGGCTCCTGACCCCCGTGACACGCAGACACAAACTTCCAGAGCGCCCCAAGGGACAGCTCCAACCCAAGTGCCCTTTGTTGCCGACGACCAATGTACCCAATGAAGGCTGGCAAACTGTTCCCACGTTTTTTTCCTAACAGTAATTTTTATCAGTGTCTGTTACTTCTAAGGCCAAGTCCATATGGAAAACCTCAATTTAGAGGTATTTAAATCAAGCGTGCTTGTCGCTGAGAGCAAGATTGCTAAAGAAACTTAATTCAACTTCTCCGCAGGTAAATCCCCAGGCTAGTTATGAAAAGGTTTTTATGTTTCCAGGAACGTAGGGGTGAGGGCAGAAAGTGATCTAGAGGTTTTAGATGGAGGAGTACTGTCCTGCACATGTGAATACATGAGTGGGAATCATTGTCTCCACCCCTGGAGCCGTATTTGTTTAACCTTGAACTAGAAGGCGTCTTTATTAGAGTCCAGATTTTTGTTCATTCTCGGGGTTACCACCCTTCACTACCTAAGGGATGTGGAGAAAATGAGGCTTTGGTCTCAAATGGCACCAGTTACGTGCAGAATGAAGTTCGTCCTGTCGGCAGTTGGTTCTCATAATGTGAAAAATTTAAAGCTCAGCCTTTCTCTTGGTTCCTTGTATATGCGTCTGGGTTTCACAGCACAGGTTCTCCCCGGAGCTTTAAGATGTCCACTAATCCTTTGTTTCCCTACATTAATTATCCCAAGCTCTGCCAAACCTAGAATAAAATCATGACGATTTTTAAATTTTTGTTTATAGTAGAAGAGATATAATATTTAACACCTAATGGATGTTGATTTAGTAGTTATTGTATATCCAACTGGAAAAGTCCAGATGCCCAGAAATGCCTCAATAATCAAAGTCAACACTGGTGTATTTCATTAATCATTTTCAAGTTTTTATTATGCAAAAATTTCAGACATATACGAAGGAGACAAAATAGCATAATGAGGCCCCGTACCAGCCATGAGCCAGCCTCAACAATGATCAACTCCTAGCCCACACTCTCCCTCTTCCATATTATTCCGAAGCAAATCTCAGGCATCTTATCATTTCATCCGTAAACATTTCAGTGTGAATTTCTAAAAGGTAAGAATTTACCAAAAACACAATCATACTACCTTCAGCACGTGTAAAAAGTGAACAGCAATTCCATACCGTCATCAGATATTGCTTTTAATTTCCAATAGGGGCATAAATGGCTTTTTTTTTTTTTCTTTTTAGTTTGAAACTGATCCAGATAAGAGCCCCACTCTGCAGCTGGGCTGCTGTATCTCTTTAGTTCTCTTTTAATCAATAGATTTCCCCTTCTGCTTTTTTCTTTTCATTTCTTTTCCTTGTAATTTATCTGTTGAAAACTCCAGGTTGCTTCTGGTGTCGTCTGGGTTTTGCTTACTGCATCCCCTACAGTGTTACTGACTGTGTTTCTCTGTCTTCCATATATCCTACAGATCAGGGGTCACATCTAGAGGCTTGTGCACGTTCAGGCATGAGTTGGGGACAGGATGACTTCAATTGGTTCTTCCATTCAGAAGGACATTCGTGTCTCTCTCCCTTGCAGTGATGTTAGTAGCTATTCACGATCAATGCTTACATTCAATACCATTACGGTTCAAATCCTGCTGACCATCCAGTTTTTTCTTTTTTTTTTTTAGAAAACGTAGCAGATGTGATTCTTGCTCTCAGCAGTCAGCGTCTTCTATGGATTTGAAATGTGGTTTTGTGAATGATCCATCTAATAAGTGTTGACTTCCATGTTACCTCTCCCATGTCGGGGAGCCAAGGTGCTGGAATGGTCTTATTTAGAGCAGTGGTTTTGTTCTCAATGTCCCATTCACAAAGAAGTTTGAAAGAAACCACAACTAGGATGGCACTGTGACAGGCTTTCTAGATTTCCTTCTCTTACAATCAGTGTCCCCTTGAAGAAGACACTTCAGTCTCCAGGTGTCCCAGGAAGTCAGGCTTGGAAGGTCTCAGTGAGAACTGGGGGCTCCCAGGGGCAGGCTCCGGACCTGGCCCCTTATCCTGACAACCCACGTTACGGGGGTGGGATTTGCCCTCCCACAGGGCTCAGGGGCTGCCTGACATTGGGCAGCTCAAGGGCAGGGAGCTTCCGTGAACCCTCTCAGCTGACCACTTTGCTTCTCTTAACCATATGGGAATGATGGGTAGACCACAGTTTCAAAAACACATTTACCAGAAATCACAATATAGGCTATTTCTCCTATATGACTGTATGACTCTAGCTTCTCTTAAGAGATCATATCTCTTCTTAAATACCATTTTCATTCCATTTCATTTTGTGATCAATCTCTTCTTAAATACCATTTTCATTCCATTTCATTTTGTGAAGGGGGACATCCAGGCCATGGTGCTTAGAGGTTGTGGAGACTCACCAGAAGGTGGCAGAGCTGAGACCCAGAATCTCCATCTCAAGCTCAGTTCTCGGCTAAAAAACTGAGGGCATCTCCACATCCTTGCAAGCCGGAATTGGCTTGTTTCTCACTGAGCCATCAAAGGGCTGTCAAATGGGAGCCACCTGTGTACCGATACGGACATTTCTTTGCCTTAGCATCTGCCTGTTTCTCCTCATTGCATTCGTGAATATTTCAGTATGACTCTGTCAAAGGTGAGGGCTTCCCTTTTGAAATAGACCCCAAATACCATCCTCCCGTCGTAAATCAACAGTAATCCCTGAATGTAATCCTCCCATATCCAGTAAGACTTTACATGTCCCTCATCATCCTGTAAGTGTTCTAGTTTTTTTCCAATTTGTTTTTATCGAGATTCAAAACTATAACCATTGCAGTCGGCAACATGTATCTTAACTCTCCCTTGACCTTCCTTTTAAAATCCTTTACTTCCTTGTAAAATTGGGCATTTCTCAGGGAGCACCTGATTCATTTTGAGTGACTTTACATGGAGCTGCAGGGCGAAAAGCAGTGGCTGTCCTAGTAAGACATCATTGATTTAAAGAACCATTTCCTTTAGGTTTGCTCTGGAGCCCCTCCTGCCAAAGAAAATGCACTCCCGGTCCCAGGACAAGCTAGACAAGGACGACCCAGATAAAGAGAAGAAGGACAAGAAGAAGGAAAAAAGGAACAGCAAACATCAAGAGATATTTGATAAAGAATTTAAACCCACCGACATTCCCCTGCAGCAATCTGAGGCTGTGATCCTTTCAGAAACGGTAATTTCACAGGGAGCTTTCCCTCGCTCCGCGGTAGCTGCCGGGACCTGTCTGTGCTCCACATTTAGCCAAGGGGGCTGTCAATTGGATTTCACTGCATTGGCTATGAAATAGTCATTTGAAAATCGGGGTTCTCTCGCAGCCCTCCCCTTGTATAACTGATGCCGTAGGGCATCCAGAGGCACAGAGGAGAGCTGCATCTCTCCGGAGGATGCTCGTCTTTGCCCCCGCGCTCCATCCTCCATCCCACAGGGGCCCCAGCCATCAGCAGGCCCCACATAGTTCTAGGCTCCACAGCAAAGCTGGACTTGCTTCCATTAGACATCCAGACGTCTCTGGACATGAACAGATTGCTGTTGTTGTCAGAGAGCAGTACTCCGGGCCAGCTAATGCTGTTCCCTTGCCCCTTCCTGACCAGAAATCACTAAGCCACCGTTTCTGCCCGAATGTTATAATCTGCTCAGCTAGCGTCCCAGAGCCCCTTCCCGCTGGGCTGTGCCAGCTGTACACAGGTCCGTGTTATCCTCCCAGCCTCGTGTGCTCCATGCCTAAATCCCTTGGCTGTCTTTCAGAAGGATTTTCAGGGACTTAACGTGTCACGTGCTGGTGAGTTGACATTAAAGATGGATCCCCGGGAATCTCGTTCATTCCAGAGTCTGGGGTTGTGTGATGGCAGTGAAACCCAAGCAGCATGTGCTGTCCTTCCAGGGCTGGGCCTGGGGGGATGGGAGCTGCCTCTGCTCCCAGCAGCGCATAGCAGCGTTTGGAGTCTGGGGGCCAAAATTAGGCACGGACAGCTTCTGGGGTGAACTGTATTCAGGACGTGCTATTTGTAGACTGGAGACAAAATAAAGAAGAGGCTCTCTGAGGCCGTCAGCGTCAAAGGTCAAGTCAGGCTTAGAGCTGCCTCCCTCTCAAAATGGATGGACGTTTGCCTGTACGGTGGCCAAGAATGTGCCTGCCCTGGGCAGGGAGTCCAGGCCCTGTCCTGGCTGTTACTGAAGGGTTGCTTATCAAAGGATTCAGGTGGGACCACCGTTTAATAAGACATACTTCACTGCTTGTTTATATCTTGAATACCAGAGGGTATGTTTCATCCAGACCACACGCCATGGAGACCAGCAGCCACATGCCGCTTGGGTGTTCAGAGGTGGAAGGGAGACCCCAGAGCCACAACGCAGTCTTCATGAAGGCAGATGCCCTTGCGAGGCCTTTGCACACAGCTGGGACTGCAGAGTGCAGGGGCCCAGGGTGCAGGGCCCGGGGCGGGACTGGCCACAGGCCAGCACTAAGTGCCCAGATGCAACCTCGCGCAGTGGGATCCAGAGGTTTCTGACGAGCCCACCCCCGCCCCCTGTGCTCTGTCCGCTCCTCTGGAAGGTTGAGAGACCAGCGACCCCGCTGGGACTGGCTAGCACCCCCCTCTCTCTAGAGTCCAGACACCATCACTGGGTGGGGGAATGAACAGCAACATTTTTTGAATATTTACTAAGTGCAGAGCCTGTGCAAGCCTTCCATACATTTTCATGTAAGCTCCACTTTAAGATGTTAAAACTGAGGGCCTCAGAGAATTTGAGCCACGTGGCAGAGTTGAACAGAATTAAGTTGCGTGCAGAGAAGGGAAAGGACGTGCCAGGCTCAGCCATCATCACAGTATAAGCCTGTCCCTCCCCGCCGTGGCCCTGCTTTCCCGCGAGGATGCTAGCGAAGATGGGCTGAGTTCTGGCACAAAGTGCACCCCGCCCCCCGTGGCTGGCCTGGGGTACCCTCAGCCAATGCACAAGAACCCACCAAGGTCAGAGCACAGAACCTTGACCCCGCTGTCGGCCTCTGAGGAGTCTCAGAATAACCACCGCTGTAGCTCCAGGGGCTAGGCCTCCTGACTTCTCGCTGGAGGCAGATTGGCTATTCTTGTCCAGCCCCGGTAGCAGTCTGTCCTCCGGGTTACAGCTGCTGGCAAGGTCTGGAGTTTTCTATTCAAGCCTCCGTGTGCCTGTGACCGGCCAGGTGCTGCGGGACAGAGCAGGTGGGCTGGTGGGGTCTGTGAGAGGCAGGGTTACTGAGTGGCGGCAGTAGCCCCATTCCCTGGGGCGGCGCTGGGCTTGCACGGCTCTGTGCGTCCACCTGGCCTCCTCATGCTTCTGCAGAGGTTTTCTCTGTTCCCTCCACGGGGCTGCATTCGGCTTCCTGCCTGAATTTGCATCATCAGCAATTTCATGACCTCTAGCTAAGCCTCTCAGAGTCTGCCTGGGGCAGGAGGGGCAGCCTCCACGTGCAGTTTGCATCTCACCAGTAAAATGTCCTCTGCTCCCCGAATTGTCCGAATGTGCACTTATGGGATGGGGTGGGAAGGATGGGAGGGGCACCTACGCAATCCCTGAATCCCCGTCTCCAGTCCCTATACACACGCACCCGAGGAGGAGCCCGAGCTCAGCAGGCTGTCCCAGACCTCCCGCAGCAGTTGAGCTGCAGGGAACTCATCGGTTTCTGCAGATGAGGGATGACACCTGGTCTCCGGTATCTCTTTCGTTGGCATAGTATAGTTCTGGAGGTCGACCTGTTGGCCAGTGTCCCCTCAGTCCCCCGTTTACCAAAGGGCTTAAGCCTTCCTCCCCTCCTTCCAGCCTCAGTAGCCTCCAGGGAGGCCCTGCCTTTGCAGACCACTGAGAGGCACATGCTGCCGCCCACCGCCCTGCAGCTGACCCCCACCAACAGGCCCAGGAATGAAGGCCCCGGAACCAGGCCCAGAGCCCTGCCCTCCCGGAAGCCCTGCCTTCCTCCTTCTCAGCTGGGTTAATAACTTTGCTAATGACTCCTACCTTGGGAGTATTTTGAACCGCTTGTGTTCCCCCAGGCCTAATGATCTGAGACCAGGTTGTAAGAAATAGATAAATAAAACACCTCGATGTTACAGTTACAGGAAAAGGCTTAGGTGGGAAGAGTCAAGTGCATCCGAAACTCAGAGATGGGGAGGAAAAATGCAGTGAAAAGTGGAAAGAATTCCTACTCAGTAATAGCGTAGCATGAGAGAAGAAACAGGAGATGAATAAAAAAAATCCTTCGGTAAGTTTCTAGATTTTCACGTACCTGCCAAGAAAGACCAAGAAATTAGGCGTCTGAGGCGTTCCGGTCACTGAGCTGGTCGTTGAGTCCACTTGTGACCCTTTGGAGCTTTCCTTGTGTGCTCTCACCCCCACTGAATGGCCCACATTACACTTATGTCCAGGAAGCATGTGATGTGACATCAACCCCGGAGTGGGTAAGGAGATTATTGTGAAGCCTGTATCAGTTTGCCAGGGCTGCCGTAACAAAGTACCACAGGCTGGGCAGCTGAAACGACAGAGATTGATTGTCTCATGGTCCAGAGGCTGGACGTCCAAGATCAAGGTGTCAGCTGGGCTGGTTCCCTCTGAGGCTGTGAGGGGCATCTGCTCCTGGCCTCTTCCCCAGCGTCTGGCGGTCGACCAGCAGTCTTTGGCCTCACTTGGCTTGTACAAGCATCACCCTGATCTCTGCCTTCATGTTCACGTGGCGCTGTCCCTGTGTCCATGGGTCAGGGTCCAAATTTCCCCCTTTTATAAGGACACCAGTCATATTGGATTAGGAGCCACTGTAACAACCTCATCTTAACTTGACCATCTGCAGAGACCCTATTTCCAGATAAGGTCATATTCGCAGGTGCTGAGGCATTAAGGCTTCAACATAGGGATTTTTGCAGTGAGACAACTCAGCCCATGACAGATCCTAACTATGCTCTTTCCATCCCTCTGATGTAGATAAGTCCCCTGCGGCCCCAGAGACCGAAGAGCCAGGTGATCAACGTCATGGGCAGTGAAAGGCGCTTCTCGGTGTCACCGTCCTCCCCGTCCTCCCAGCACACGCCTCCTCCGGTCACACCGAGGGCCAAGCTCAGCTTCAGCCTGCAGTCCAGTAAGTGGGACACTGTCCACATTTGAATTCCTGACGCTGCTCTGTGGCCTCCCCCTTGATCGAAGTCTCTAAAGTTAGACCCACCCTCTCTGTCCAGCAGGTGGTGAGAGTTTTGACAAGCACCTGACTTCCTGGGAATGTCCCCTGGGACTAAAGCAAATCAGGCCAAAGCCCAGTCCTGGGCTCCTGCGCTCCCTGGGAGGAAAGCATGGGGCCCGTTCAGATCTCCAGACCTCCTGTGTGCTGGGGGTAACTCGAGACGCATGTGGAATGTCCTCCATTTCGTGTCACCAGATAATGCTGCCCATGGGGGCGGGTGGGGGAGTTGTGAGCCTTTTTGCGTCCAGGAGGAATGGGAAGGAAAGAAGCCCTGCCAGGCTGTGCTGAGGGGCTAAGGGTAGAACTTACTTTCCAGTTTTGCCCGATTTCTAGGGCGGCTCAATATATCACCACAGACTTGGTGGCCTAAAGGATCAGAAAGTTACTCTCTCACAGTCTGGAGGCCCGAAGTCTGAAACCGAGGTATCAACAGCCTTGCTGCTGTGTAGAGTCTCAGAGGGAGAATCTGCCCGTGCCTCTTCCGGCTTCTGGTGGATTCCGGCAGTCCTTGGCGTTCCTTGGCTTGTCAACGCATCACTCCAATCCCTCCCCTCTCTTCCCAGGCCTTGTTCTCCGTGTTTCTGTGCTCTGTCCTCTTCGTACAGGAGACTGGAGATTGGGTTTAGGGCCCATCGTAAATCCAGGATGATCTCCTCTCGAGATCCTTAACTAATACATCTGTAAAGACACTATTTCCAAAGGAGGTCGTATTCTGAGGTTCCGGGTGGGTGTGAATTGTGGACAGATGCTGTGGAACGCACTGCAAGTGGTACCCGGCTTTTCATCACTCAAGTCAGGCCGTCCAGAGAGGCGACATCCTGGCAGGAAGAAAGTGGCAGGGAGCGAGGGCAGCAGCAGAACGAGGGCGGCCGGAGGAAGAGGGTGGGGGGGACTTCCCTGGAGGTCCAGTGGTTAAGACTTCACCTTCCAGTTCAGGGGGTGCGGGTTCGATCCCTGGTCAGGGAGCTAAGATCCCACATGCCTCGTGACCAAAAAACCAAAACACTAAAAAAAGAAGCAAGGGCTTCCCTGGTGGCGCAGTGGTTGAGAGTCCGCCTGCCGATGCAGGGGACACGGGTCCGTGCCCCGGTCCGGGAAGATCCCACATGCCACGGAGCGGCTGGGCCCGTGAGCCATGGCCGCTGAGCCTGCGCGTCCAGAGCCTGTGCCCCCCAGCGGGAGAGGCCACAGCGGTGAGAGGCCCGCGTACCGCAAAAAAGAAAAAAAAGGAGAAGCAATATTGAAACAAATTCAATAAAGACTTTAAAAATGGTCCACGTTAAAAAAATCTTAAAAAAAAAAAAAAAGCGGGGGGACGGGGAGCACCAGCCTGAGGAGTGGCTTGTGCAGCAAACAGTTGTCCTCAACGTCTGGTTTCTTCTTGCTGAAAGGGGAGCAGCAGAATCTGGAGGTGGTCCATCTGGTCACGAGTCAGGGCTGCCACAGAAATGAGCCTGAGAGAGCCACGAGTTTCTGGGCTCTGGAAGGGAGATGGTCTCCTGGTGTGTCCTAGTTTCACATCCTTGCACTATAACCAGTGATCTTCTTCAAAAATACTTTAATTTTTTGTATAAATAGCTAAAAACAGGCACCATCGCAGCTGCTGTGGAGAGCACTTTAGGGGTTGCTTGAAATTAAACACGGAATCACCAGAACCCCCAGCAAGCCCACTCCTAGGCGTTTACCCCAGAGAATTGGACACAAGGGCCCAAGCAAATTCTTGCACGTGAATGTTCATAGCTGCATCATTCACAACAGCCAACGGGTGGAAACAGCCCAAGGGCCCATCAGTTGATGAATCAACTGAAATGTGCATCCGGAGAAATCCCCATGCAGTAGATATGATTCAGCCGTTACCAAACAAGTACGTGCTGCAACATGGATGACCTGGAGAACACTAAGTGAAATAAGCCGGGACAGACATATGATTCCAGTTATATGAAGTAGCTGAAATAATCAAATTCATGGAGACAGAAAGTGGATTCGAGGTTATCAGGGGGTGGGGGAGAGCGGAGGGGGAATTATCACTTTCAGGGTAGAGCCTTTGTGTTTGGGGTGATAACAGTTGATAGTGGTGATGGTTGTGCAACAGTGTGAATGTGGGCGATGCCACTGATTTGTACACTTAAAAATGGTTACAGTGGTAAATATTAAATAAATACCGTAATAAAAACAACCAGTCTCGAGGGCAGTCCTTCAATCAGAGGCCACCTTCCTGCCCCTGGATTCAACTGCAAGACTTCCTTATAAATTGACACAACTCTTCCTAGGAAGCACTTGCCTAGTGAAGGGTTTTTCGTCAGATGCATCATCGGGGACAACTTTAACAGAGACCCAACAGCAAAAATGTCAGTTTTTCTCTCTTTAACATAAATGACACATTATTTCTAAGAGCCTCAACAAAGGCTGAGAAAGTATATTGCCTTAATGATCACTCCTCTGTCTGCTTTGCTTTAAAAACGGTACTTCCCCTCGGCTTACTTAAAGCACCGGCCACAGCGGCTGCTACTGCTAATAACTGCGTTTCGTACAATTGGCTTTTCCTGGTGTGAGAGTTTTGAAAGGCAGGTGGCTGCTTGTGAGCTGTGTTATTAGACTTGGCTTTAGTGAAGCTCCCTGGCTCATAACTGCAGGACGCCTGGTGCAGCGTCCCGGCTGGGCTCTGAAAACTGCAGGCGTAGACAGTCCTTGTGACCCCAAGCTGTGTAGATGGCACCAAGGCAGAGGGGCCTAGGAGGGATCAGAATGGTCCCAGGTTGGGAATTCCCTGGCGGTCCAGTGGTTGGGACTGTGTTTTCACTGCTGAGGGTCCGGGTTCGGTCCCTGGTCGGGGAGCTAGGATACTGCAGGCCTCAAGGTGCAGCGTGCATAAATAAATCAATAAATAGATAGATAAATAGTAAGGACATAAATAAACGGTAAATAAAATAAATAAGGGTCCCAGGTCGACATGGCTGTTTGTCCAGTGGTCTGGTCCTTTAAGCTCAGGTTTTAGGCATCACGTGACAGTTGGTATTCTCTTTCTAGAGCATGCCCTTCGGAGGCAATGCCACCCCTGGCCTCCTCTGCCCCTCTCTGCTCTCTTCTGTGCCCTGTTGACAAGCATTTCTGGGAGGAGAAGGGGTTCCCGCTACCCTGCCACCCCTGAGAGAGCACAGAGCCGCCGTGTGTGCGTCCACGCCTGCTGGGGATGTGGGTTTGACTCTGATCCATCCTGTTTCCCAGGTTTGGAGCTGAATGGCATGACTGGACTGGACGTGGCTGAGGTTCCGCCCCCTCTGCCTCTCAAAGGCACCAGCGCAGACTACGGGGCCTTGACCGAGAACCTGGACCTGACAGGCCTGCCGAGCCCCCCGCCCCCTCCTCCTCAGCAGAGGGTAAGTCAGGACTCGGGGCGTCGGTGGCTCACATCCTTCTCCGCACCAGGTACAAACCCCTCCTTCCTGGTGTTAGCGTGTTGACTCTGGGCAAGCCGAGATGTGATTCCGAGCAGAGGTCACAGTGGATGGAACGTCGGCGCGTGTGGTCTGTCGTTCTGTGTCCTCGCTGCAGGGACGCACTTTCCCACGGGGCCCTCAGGACGAGGCAAAGGGGGAAGAACTCCAGCCAGTGGATCGAAGGGCCACTCTCGTGACCTTGGAGGTCACTGCACTTCTTAGGAAAGTGTGGTGTTGAGAAGTAGCTTTTGTATGAAGAGGTTTGTCTGACTTTTTAAGAAGCCGGCCGATGCCACACGTGGTCGGGGGCCTGTGCTCCTGGACACCAGCCTCGCTCTTGAGAAGCCCAGGTCCCGGCAGTTCCTCCAGGCAGCCCCACCCTCGCACCGGCCACTCCCGGGTGGGGACAGGCATTTGCTGCACAGAGAATCTGCAGAGGAGAAGCAAGGTGGGGCAAACCCTGTTCCCCGAGGCCACCCATCCCTAGCCACACCTCTAGCCCTGAAACCTACTCCACCCCGTTTAGATTCGGGGTGCTGGCTGCCACAAGCATGGTCTGCCAACTCGAACCCTCGTCAACACTGGTGCCCAGGCTAGTCCCCCCTCGGAGACCGTCATTAATCGTGTCTGATGTGCTCACTGCTCTGGCCTCTGGGCCTGCCTACTTATGCAAACGTCAGCTAAAAGCCTGAAAAAAACACCTAAACCCGTGCCTCTGTTACCGGCTCACGGCTCTAGAAACGTCCTTTTGAGATCCCCCCGCATTCTCTCCTGCTTCTTAAGGCTGCTGTCACACAGGCCTCTCCTTTGTTCACTGGCCCGGCTGCGTGCAGAGGTCCGCGTGCCCACGTGAAATGACCCAGCAGCGCCGGGTGATCGCATCCAGGTTCATCCCTCCCCCAGCCACGCTATTCACAGCCTAATGAAATTAAAGCCATGCAGGCTGAGGAGTAGAATATCCCCGATCACACGTGCAGCTGGTCAGCCTCTATAACGTAATTATACGGCAACAGAACTCCTGTAGAAGAACATCGAAGACATGAGGTAGTCATGTGGCCACGATTCTTTTCATAACAGCAAGCTGTGTTTTTTCCCCTTCTAAAACAATATAAATCCTGCATTCTTTTTTCTTTCTTTTTTTTTTTAATGGAGACTTTTTCACTGAGCTTTCTGCAAGTTTATTATCTTCTTGTGAGAGGAGCAGAAGAAAGAGGGGGTTTATTGACAGTATATTTATGCGATTATTCCTCTTGCGTAAGAAAACCAGACAAGCGGTGGGGCTTCCTCTTTGGTGCTGAAGGGGTGGTTCGTGCTTCCAAGGCTGCAGTGCCTTTCGGGTCAGCCCTCTGTCCCTCGAGATTCCATGATGGGGGACCGGCCGGAGAAGGGACCCGGTGCCCCATGATGGCTTTTTAGGAAGCTGGAACAGTTTGTAGCAACTAAGGAAATGTAAGTCTGACCCTTCCCGCGAGTTTCACGACAGGTTAGAATAAAAAGAGACGCAGGGAGTTGAGAGAGATCGTTGATTGGTTGAAGTGTTGTTTTCTTAACAGCGTAGTTAACCATCTTGATTTTCATATCTTTATTTTATCGGAAAAGCAAGAATGTCCCCCAGGTCTCCCTACACTGAAAATTCTGAACTTGGAAGTGTGAAGCAAGTCCATTTTTGTTACAAATCAATTCAGGGGCAACATTTGATGGTCTCGGCTTCTGGGACACATCCTCTGAGTTACTGCTGCCACTGCTGTTGGAGGAAGGACAAACATGCACAAGCTTCGGCTCCATTTATAAAGGGGTGTGAGTTCCATGAGATTAATTACCCAAGTCGCCTTGCTCTCGGTGTCTTGTATGACATACCTGCAGTGTGAGTACCCCTTCAGGAGGCATGCCTCTGGGTTAGCGTGTCATCTCTGGAAGCAGCTGGGTTTCCAGGGGTGCCTCCCTTTCGGGCCCCAAGAGCTGTTGTGGGATAATGATCGGTTCGCCCTCCATGGGGGCTGATACATGTCCTCCTGTCACTCTCATTGATCAGCCTCGGGCTTGTAGTCAACTCTCTCTCTAGTTGTTGCCAGTTTAAGCTGTCGTTTCTTTCAAAATGCCTGTTACGACCGGTAGTCCGAGCTCCCGAGCCGCCCAGTGGTGATGAACCCACCATGCACGTCTTTGGCACAGAGGGCAGTTCCGACCGCCGCCTGGCCCCGCGCCGCTCACACCGGCCCGCACTGTTTACTTCCATGTGTCAGCAAGCAAACGCCTCAACAGAGCCAGAAATCGGTATTTCTTTTGACCGTTCTTACCAGCTTAAACAGATTCACACGTCTGTTCTTCTATTTGCCTGGTTACAGCGTCTACATATCATTACATCAGTGCTGTGTTTCCACGTTGACTCTCTTCTCTCCTAAGCCCTAGGTCACTTTAGTATTCGTGTGTCTCAGAATCAGGAGGAAAGTTGGGCAATGAGTTCAGACACGGCTTCGTCACTGTTCTGTCCTTGAAACTTCTTTTCTCACATTGAGCTAAATGTGAACCTCCCCTGAGAGGCTGTTAACAGTGCACTCTCAGCCTTAGTTAGAGGCCAGTGCTTTGTGATCTCTTTCTGGTTTGTTCTACCTGTGGCATGTGCCCGCTTATCCTGGTCTGTTTATTTGTTCCTCTGCTCATTCATTCACTCATTCGTTCATTTGTTCACTCATTTCTTTATGCATGTGGTCAACACACGTTGACCTCTTGTGCGTGTCACGTGCCCACCAAGAGCAAGGCCACCAGCTGCCCTCCATCATTCATACCCTGACAGGTACATTCTGTTTCTCTTATCGCCGTTACAGTTGTAAATCCATTCTTTTTTTTTTTTTTTTTTTTTTTGCGGTACGCGGGCCTCTCACTGTTGTGGCCCCTCCCGTTGCGGAGCACAGGCTCCGGACGCAGCAGGCTCAGCGGCCATGGCTCACGGGCCCAGCCGCTCCGCGGCGCGTGGGATCTTCCCAGACCGGGGCACGAACCCGCGTCCCCTGCATCGGCAGGCGGACTCCCAACCACTGCGCCACCAGGGAAGCCCGTAAATCCATTCTTGAGAACCTAAGGCCAACTGTGGCCCATAAGCCACGTCCAGCCCGCGCCTGTCTTTGTAAATAAACTTTTATTAGAGCACAGCTGCACCCATTTCTTGATAAACCGTGCTCCCCTCGTGAAGAATTTAAACACCCCCCAGCCTTGTTCATCCTCCTCTGTTTACAGTTTGGGAAGCGACTGTGGATGAGAAACCACCTTGTCAACGGGTCACCTGGATGGTGGCCGCAGGTGCCACCATGGCCCACTTGCTGACCCTCTCTCATGTGGCCTTCCCATTTCTGAGAGCAAAGCAGGTCTCTCAGCCACCCACCCATGGAGAGCATCTCCAAGGACTTGTTTGTCCCTGAACCATTTCGGGGCATCTTCAGGGGTCATGAGGAGGGGCCTCTGGGTGGTCCTCACCCGGGGAGGCTCAGCTGTGACATGGCCACAGGCTGCCTGGCTGGCCCTGGGTCCTGCTTTGCCCACATTCACTTGTCCTTAACCATTTCAGCTGCCCACTTCTGAACCCGGTCCATTTCCAGGGGCCCTTAGGTCAACAGCACGTGGATTTAAAGCCACCACCCAAAGAGCAGCGGTTACACGTCTCAGGGGCTGGTCAGACGTGTGACATACTATGTGTGAAATAGTGGCCAGGGCCACAGCCACGCGGTCCTGAGCGTGGCTGACCTGCCTGCCCCGAGTCACGAGGAGAGGGCAGTTCCCGCCCAGGGCTGCAGGTCGACTTTCCCTCACCGCGCCCCCCCTGCCGGCTCAGACCCCCCTGGAGTCTCCCCCATTTTCTGTCTTCCAGCATCTCCCCCCTCCGCTGCCCAGCAAGACCCCACCGCCACCGCCTCCCAAGACGACGCGCAAGCAGACCTCAGTGGACTCCGGGATCGTGCAGTGAATGTGCAGCGCCCGCCAGAGAGCCAGCTGGTGTCCTTCCTCTCCCTCCGCATCTTCTCCCACGTCTGGCATTTACCTCATTGGGCCTGTGATGTCTGATGTTTAGTGCAATTGCTTTTCCTTAACAGGAGCTCGTCTCCAGCCACTGAGTGAGAGGGCTTTAGCACTGGGGAGCGAGGTGGATGCGGGCCTGGGACGTGCTTTTATGTTTATCAAAGTCGGAGGCTTCTGAGTGTGTCCGTCTTGAGAGAGCCTGAGTCTTGCCCAGAAGTCTTTTCTTTTTGTGCCAAATGACACATTAGCAGAGAGGCCGGTTGACCTGAGTGGAGCGCAGTAAGAGAGCTTAGGCCTTCACTGCAGAACTGTGTAATAACAGCTTAGGAACCCTCATCTCTCGAGGCCAAACCCCGGCTGACTCTTGCAGGATGTTTTCTCAGACCCTCCTGGCTGCACCTGGTGGTGTGACTTTTTGTTGGTTAAGTGTCCCTTCAACTTATATCAGGCAACGAAGGTCAACCCTTTCAGGGAAGTCCCTGATTTCCTTTGGTATAATTTAAAATAGGGTATTTCTCCGCTACTGAACAGTTACTAATTTATGGAGTGGAGACACCATTTAAAATACTGGGATCAAGTGGAAAAATAAATGAGTATAGGCAGATCAGTTTTCTCTCTTTTTCGAAAAACAATACGTAGACCACAGGAGATGGTTTTAATTGGGTGAATTCTTCTTGTGCTCATTCTGTACAGAAGTTTGTATATATGAGGGTCTCTAGAACTTGTTTTAATTTTTGTGGTCCTTCTGTTTATTGTAATACGTGTCCGCAAATGGTTCCCAATATGTGTTCTTAACGTTTAACTGTGGGAAGTGTAAAAAAAAAACCCAAATTAAGTTTTCTTGGTTTTTTTTCCCAAAGCTCAAGTCCTAAAAATCATTGTGGGTGATGATTTAAAAAAAAAAAAAACAACTAACTTAGTATAACCTAATATTTTTATTCTACCATCTATATTTTTTTATTCACTGTAATCCTGATATTCTTCTAGTAGGCTCGAAAGTTAATCCATGACAAGGAAAAATAAAATGTCATTTAAAACGACTCGCAGTGTCTGACGTACTATGTTTTTATCCCCTGATGTAACATCTAAAAGCCGCTGTTTTCTATTTTGCTTTCTTAAAGAGCTTTGTGATGCCTGTTTATCTGTGTGTACGTCCTCCTCAAACGACGGTCTTAAGCATCTGTGTTTACTTGTCTCTGACTTGGAGGCCAGGTAGACAGCACCCACAGGCCTCTGCACGCGTCTTTGCATGTCCTTACAGACAGAGCGGACCTGAGCCTAGCGAAGGCTGGAGCTTTCTCCCCTCGACCCAACCCCGGGGCCCTCTGGCTGCACATTATTTACATCCCCTTTTAGCCTTTTCAGCTGCTAATTTGAGAGAGGGCTTTGTTTACTGGGGTGTGTCATTGCACTTGAGAGACATCAGACTTCCCAGCTTTCTCTGAATCTTAGGTGGCAAGAAACGAAGAAGGCACTGGGGTCCTGCTTTCCATCCAAATGTGTCCCTGGCTAAACACAAGGGTGTGACTCTGCCCCTCCTAACCAGGCCTCGAAGGAGGCTGCTGCAGAATCCCCAGGAGGCTTGGAGGATCCTTCTCTGGCTCAATGGCTGGTCCCCAGTTTATTCGAACTTGTAAATATCCAGTTCCCCCCCCGACCCGCAGGGAATTTTAGACACACGTGAATATGGAATGTTTTTCTTCTTGAATTTTTACTCTTTGACCAACATGAATATTCATGCTCCATTGAGTATGTTAGAAACCAGATATTATCCACCATCCTAAAATAATTGCAGGGGCACACCCACCTGGGAGGGGCCAGCCTCTGGCCGCGGGTGATATTTGGAGAGTCAGTATTTCACTTCTCGCGGAAGCTCTAGCCGAAATTTATAAAAATATTTCCTGGCCCTATGGCAATGGTTTTTATTCTAGAACAGCATCTGGGTTCTAGTTCTTGCCCTGCACCACCACATCCGCCAGGAGGTCTCACTGGATGATCTCTGGACTGCACACTCCATCCGGGTCCCCCCACCCCCTGCCCCCCCCACCATGTCCCCATCCCCCCAGCCGCCGGAAATTCCACGCTGCCCTCCAGAGCTGCCAGGTACGTGACAAACACAACAGGAGAGGAAAAGTGGACACTTTTTACAGGTGTTACAGAAATCTCCTAATATAAATATGAAAGTATATTTACAAAAAGTGAACTTCTCAAGCTAGGCAGACACAATTTTTTTTTTTTTTTTTTTACCTTTTAAATCAACATGGGCTACAAAACTATAGTCAAGGGGAAACTGACCTCTGTGTCATCAAGTGTCTTCTGGAGACATTCCTTCTAGAAGGAGGTTCGAGAGGACACGCTTGCTTCTCTAGATGCACTAATGTATTCCTTTTACTCAGAAACAGTGTTTCTCAACCTTTTTTCATAATTGTGTCCCAGGAGTCTTTTTAGACATTTTTTTTCCTAATCATTCTCAAGAAGTTTTAACAGTAGGGCTATACCATACATCTATTTACATACTTTATGACTATCTCTGCTTTTTACCTTGACAAAGTAAGATTATTGTTTTGTTCCCCAAGAACCAGTTTTCATCACCTTCGGGTGATACTGCCTCGTTGAGAATACTTGCTTTAAAACAGGAATGGTGAGGGTCTTATTGCCTGTTTTTGCTTTGATGGCCAGGAAGCTCAAAGCCAAATTTAGCTCTCACGCATTCAGTTAAATTTGGTTTTATTCTTTCGTCTTTCACAATACTTCCTCGTGTATTACAAATCCATCTTTAACTATTCAGTTTAACATGTGCTTTCCCCAAATCTTTATTAAAAGAAGATAGCATATAAGCTATGTCCTATAAGTGTAAAAACTTTTTCTTATTGAAAAACAACCCTTGGTGCTTGAAGATGGCTTCCTCGTATTATATTTTAAAAAATTATCTTTTAATCAATGTTAAGATTAGTCTTTCACGTAAAGATTTGATCTCTTTCAATTCCTTACAGATTTTGTTATCTTCAGCTCTGGACTTTTTTTTTTTATGGCATTGGACTTTATGTTTTATGTTCACCAAAGTCTTTGTTGGTGTAATGGATTTGGGCTTTTGCTTTTTAGTTCTAATTACTTTTTAGTATTTTACTTACTTGTTAAAGTCTATTTGGGGACTTTTACTTTTTTTTTTTTTTTTTCCAATCTGCCTTTTCTGAATTATTTAAACTCTACTGTTTAGTTGGTGATGATGGAACAGGAAACCTAGTGAGCCAATAACCCTTCACAGGTCCTGTGAAGACCTGCATGCAGTGAGTGGCCCAAGCTTGCGAGGGGAGGCGAAAAAGAACTGTGTGGGACGGGGGGGCACGGCAGAGTTCATTTTGATAATACTGAGTTGTTATAATAACAACTCATTTGTTATAACTGAGTTGATAATACCGTGTCAGCCCTGGACAAAAGACCTACAACGGTTAGTTCGTCTTATGGGTCAACTCAGCTAGGCTCTAGCGCCCGGTAAATCAAACGTCAGTCTAGGTATTGCTGGTAGGTGTGGTGAACATCGACCATCAGCTGACTTAAAGTAGAGGAGGTGAGACCCTCTGTAACATGGGTGGGCCTCGTCTAATCAGCCGAAGTCCTTCAGAGCAAGACCTGAGGATTCCCAGAGAAGAAGAAATTCTGCCTCGAGAGGGCAGCATCAACACCGCCTGCATTTCCATCCTTCCCTACAAATTTTTGGACGTGCCAGACCCCACAAGCACGTGAGCCAATTCCTTAAAATACATCTCTCTCTTTATGTATATGTATCTCCTATTGGCTCTGTTTCTGTGGAGAACCACGATACAAGAGTGTCACGAGAGGTTCAAAACAAGATAATTCATGCAAAAGACAAGGGGCAGCAAACCTCCTTCAGTGAAGTGGTAGCGGCTTCAGAGGAAAGCTACCGGGTAGAAGTCCAGAATCCGGAGCCCCCAGACAGCCACTCGGCCCCGCCATGCACGGGTTTCTTCCTCGGTCACATGCTGACAATACGAACTGCCCATGCTGTTACTTGTTTTCCTGGAGCTGGAATGTCCAAATGGTTTCCTCCATGGGTCTGGTGCTGAGGCTGGCTGAGCATCCTGTCTCTCTGACTCTCTCTGTCTCCATCTCTGTGTATCTTTCTTCTCTGTCTTTCTCTATCTCTCTCTGTCTCCTTCTCTCTCTGTCCCTGTTTTTCGTGTCTGTCTTTCTCTTTCTACCTCTCTATGTCTCTGTCTGCCTCTCTCTGTCTTTGTTTCTCTCTGTGTCTGTCTGTCTCTGTCTCTATCTCTGTCTCCCTATCTCTGTCTCCCTCTCTCTCTGTCTTTATCTCCCTGTCTCTGTCTGTCTGTCTGTCTGTCTCCCTCTCTCCCCCTTTGGCTGTCTTCCATCCTCCGTTACTGTTTCATGTGTAAGAGGCTACTTTGCATGGCCAAGAATTTCCCTGTTTAAACTCGGAACAGAATTATTTTCTCTGCTAAGCTATGGTGAGGCTGTGGCTGCGACCCTCCCACGTGACCCAGCAGGGGTGTGGGCTGCCCTTCATCTCAGTCCACCCAGTCTCGGCCTGGGCTCCCCTCCGAGTCAAGTTGCATCCTCTCCCTGGGCGGCCAGTCGCACCAGCGCCTCCTGCTCTAATATTGGCTCTGGAAATGGCCTCACGCAGCAGCCGTGCTCCCTTGCTCTTTTCTTCTCTTGTCGACCTTTGTAAGATTTGAAGATTCCAAAATTTGTCCTACAATCCTCTAGCAATTGTGGTGCCTTTCCCACCACTGGGAAGTAATCCCATTCCTTCTTCTAGCTTCACAGCATCATTTCCTTGCCTCCCTGGTCTCCTTTAGTTTTGTACACCTATTGCCACCTGTTCAGCTGTTGCTTATAATTCACGTTTATTTTCACTATTGGTGAGTGCTGAATTTCAACTGTTCTTTATTCTTTCTCTTAACTGGTTGTGCCAT